TGAGGAAGTTGCCAAGTGTTGAGACACTGGGTTGCACTACAGTGATTTGCTCCGATAAGACAGGAACATTGACCACCAACCAGATGTCAGCGGTGAAGCTTGTGGCAATTGGGAGGTGGCCTGATACACTTAGGAGCTTTAAGGTTGATGGAACCACTTATGATCCAAGTGACGGGAAGATAAACGAGTGGCCAAGTTTGAGCATGGATGAAAATCTCCAGATGATTGCTAAGATTGCTGCAGTTTGCAATGATGCAAGTATTGCTCACTCTGAGCATCAGTATGTTGCCACTGGGATGCCCACAGAGGCTGCTTTGAAGGTATGGCTCATTAGTGCAATAAAATATGTTCTCTATGTTGCTTCACCTAATGATCATGTAATATCTGGAAAGTGTTAACGGTGATGTTTTGCATAACATAGAACATAGATAAACACATGGGAATTACTTCTAATCATCCATGTAACTTATTTTGAAGTTCATATGTGTAGAATCCGTGCCTTTTCAAGTTGCTTACAATTATTTGATTATTTCTATTGTTGAATGATTGTGTTATGTATGTGGCAGGTTTTGGTTGAGAAAATGGGCCTTCCTGGTGGATATACTCCATCCCTGGATTCATCTGATTTGCTAAGTATGCTGATTTCTGTGATTTGTAAAATAGAATCTGTGAGCATTATTTGCATTCTTTTTGAATAATCCTAGACTAACTTGCACTTTTCTATTGTTTTAAGGGTGCTGTCAATGGTGGAACAATGCTGCTAAGAGAGTAGCTACTCTGGAGTTCGATCGGACTAGAAAATCAATGGGAGTTATTGTAAAAAAAGCAGACTCTGGAAAGAATTTGCTGCTTGTCAAGGTATTCTGAACCATTTATAATTCCATTGTAGAATTATCGAATGTTTCTCTATCATAAATGACCTAGTGGACAACCATACGCAGCTTACTCCTATTTAATTCTTCATAATACTGGAAGCAACATAGTTGTGGATTGTTATATTCCAACTGCAGCGCATCCTTTTGTCCTTTCTCTCCTGGAATAGGCTATAGGCCTTGTCTTATTGTCAGTTGTCTTTGCCAATAGTATCAATGGCTGTTTTCCACTTTTGTTCCTTTAGTTAGCTTGGTTGCCTTACTTGGTAACGAATTCTCTGTGCTTCTGAATTGGCATGTGTTATGTTCTTTTATCCATTGCATTTTCTTTTACCTGTTAATGTATTCATGTTAAGATTGGACTCTTGCAGGGAGCTGTAGAAAATTTGCTAGAAAGGAGTGGCTATATTCAGTTGCTTGATGGATCTGTTGTGCTCCTGGATGAAGGTGCCAAGGCGCTCATATTATCAACACTTCGTGAAATGTCTGCTAGTGCATTGCGATGTTTGGGTTTTGCGTACAAGGAGGATTTGGCGGAATTTGCAACATATGATGGTGAAGAGCATGCAGCTCACAAATATCTACTTGATCCTTCATACTACTCTTCCATAGAGAGTAATTTGATATTCTGTGGTTTTGTTGGTCTAAGGGTGAGAACATGTTCTTCATAGAAATTCTCCAACTGTGACTATTCAATAACTATATGATTTCTGCATTTCGAATCTGTGCAACTTTTAACAATACACTATGACAGGATCCTCCCCGAGAAGAAGTCCACAAAGCAATTGAAGACTGTAGAGCTGCTGGAATACGTGTTATGGTGATTACTGGTGATAACAAAGAAACAGCAGAGGCGATATGCCGTGAGATTGGAGTTTTTGGTTCCACGGAAGATATTAGTTCAAAGAGCTTCACAGGGAAGGAATTCATGTCTCTTTCAGATAAGAAGAAACTCTTAAGGCAAACAGGTGGCCTTCTCTTCTCTAGGGCTGAGCCGAAACATAAGCAGGAGATAGTTAGATTGCTCAAAGAAGATGGTGAAGTGGTTGCTATGACTGGTGATGGAGTGAATGATGCACCAGCTCTGAAGTTGGCTGACATTGGAGTTGCTATGGGCATTACAGGGACTGAGGTCTGCTTCTTGCTTTGTTATTAAACTGTTCCTTTTCTTTTATCTTTTATGAGGGTAATTTTGCAATTTATATTTTTCATCTCCTTTTTACTTGTCACCTATCATACATTCTGAGTGGTAGAGCACATTAGGCTTCACTATTCTCATGTGATGTAACCATTCTTAGGCTTCTGATCACATTTTTTATAGTTTAGCTGTGCTCTTTCCGTTACTATTTCTTGCTGCCATCTCATTCATTTTTTGCTTCATCACTAGCCTGTTACTAACTTTACCCATTGGTCGTTGTTGGTCGCTTCCCTGCTGAGCATTTCATAAGAACTGCTTAAGATCACACGATAATTCTTAGATAGTGAACTATAAATTGGATTTTCTATTTCCTTTTAATTTTGTCTCCTTATTTTTTTTATGCTTCAGAATTTACCAAAAGAATCCATCGCATGGTGTTTTCGTATCTCTTTCTATGTTTTATCCGTTCCCTTTTTGTATGATTGTATACTCCCTCTGTCCCAATATAAGTGGAACCTAAGATAGATGTGACATATCCTAGGACTACAAATCTGGAGGTTGCACTTATATTGGGATGGAGGGAGTATGTTTTATAATGGTCCTGGAGTTTTTACCACAGAATGCAGGGTATTTATGGTGTACATAAAGATCATGTACTGCGTGAACTATAAAAATGACACAAGCATATGGGCTTGTGACAGACCAAAATTTAGAAGAAAGAATTCTGCACAATCAGTTTCCTTGTCTTTCTGTCCAGAATCTTATCACACATGCATATTTCAGTCCTGAAAGCATGTGGTTGGTGCTGTACTTATTCTCAGTAAATGTAATAAACCAGAATCCTGACCTCGTTTTTTTCCTTATGTATAATTTTTGTTAGGTTGCAAAAGAAGCTTCAGATATGGTTCTTGCAGATGATAACTTCAGTACAATAGTCGCAGCTGTTGGTGAAGGGAGGTCAATCTACGACAATATGAAGGCATTTATAAGGTACATCATTATGCCAGCTATGGCTAACCCTTTCTTGCTTTGTTAGCATCTGACAAGTCAATAAAAATGCTGTCAGTTAATGTGGGCTATATGTTATTGCAGATATATGATCTCTTCAAACATCGGGGAAGTTGCTTCCATATTTCTAACGTCAGCTTTAGGTATTCCTGAAGGTCTCATCCCTGTGCAACTTCTGTGGGTCAATCTTGTTACAGATGGTCCTCCTGCAACGGCTTTGGGGTTCAACCCACCTGATAAAGATATCATGAAGAAACCTCCACGAAGGAGTGATGACTCGTTGATCACTCCATGGATCCTATTCCGTTATATGGTATGTTTTCCTCTCCTTTTATGTCTATTTGAGATGAGAATGTTTTCTGATCATGCATATTTACTTATCTATCCTTTTTTAAAGTCAATTAATATTGTGTTATTATGCTGAATACTTTTATTGTTTATTGTGTTCACGTGCATGAACAATTTATACATTTTGAGCAATTTTACAATAACCTACTTAAGTTCTTATGTGGTTTCATATTTAGAAATTTCATGATTACATACTTCTATTTATATCACTGTAGAAACGCTAAGGTACACCAATCCAACAAAAATGAGTATGACTTATGAGCATCATCAAACATAATGGATGCTCTCCCTTTTTCTAGCATAGGATGTGTTAGATGAGGCCTGTTGAGTTGTTGGGGGTTGATTTATATATGTTTATTTATTGGGAGTTACTTTATATGCTCACCTCTAAGAAAATTAACACGTCTCAGTGATCTAGTGATCTATTTGACTACTAAAGAAAGAGGAACACGCCTCAGTTCTGGTTAGCAAAAAGAAGTGAAGTGTGTAAGCATCATGGTTAACGAATAACTGTTAAAAGTCTTGTGGTTATTTTTTATGAACCCAAATAAGTCCTAATTCATGATAGTACACTGTCTGGACTCTGGACCTATCCATATTCCTAACTCATTCTACTTACTTGGAATCCATGTCCATCCTACAGGTCATTGGGATGTACGTTGGGATTGCCACAGTGGGAGTGTTTATCATTTGGTACACACATGGCTCTTTCCTGGGAATTGACCTGGCTGGTGATGGTCACTCTCTTGTCTCGTACTCCCAGCTCTCAAACTGGGGCCAGTGCTCCTCATGGGAGGGTTTCAAGGTGTCACCATTCACAGCAGGTGCCCGTACATTCAACTTCGATGTGAACCCATGTGATTACTTCCAGGGCGGCAAAATTAAAGCGACAACCCTCTCCCTGTCTGTCTTGGTGGCCATTGAGATGTTCAACTCGCTGAATGCGCTGTCGGAGGATGGTAGCCTTCTGAGCATGCCTCCGTGGGTTAACCCTTGGCTTCTTCTGGCAATGTCGGTTTCATTCGGGCTGCATTTCTTGATCCTCTACGTGCCATTCCTTGCCCAAGTCTTTGGTATTGTGCCCCTAAGCTTCAATGAATGGCTTTTGGTGATAGCAGTTGCTTTCCCAGTGGTTCTCATCGACGAGGTCCTTAAATTTGTGGGGCGGTGCTTGACAGCCCGTGCCAGAAAACAATCAGGAAAGCAGAAGGAAGATTAGATGCTAGTCATCAGTGTTTTAGATTTCTAGTTATGTCACGAGGAACCAACACCTGATGTAGCACAAACATTATTTTTTCTCGAGTTCCAAAGGCTCTCGTTCTTTGTTGAGAGAATGTTTGCGAACATGACTATGCAGCGAACTTAGGTACTCTATAGAACTCATAATCAGGCAGCGACACAGACCGCATTTATTCATTGTAACTAAGATTGTTATTTGTGAATGTGCTGGAGAGACAGCATGTTTGCCTGCTCAGCTGCTATGATCTTGGTCGTCTTGCACTTGCATTCATGAAATTTTGTTTAGTACTAGTATTTGTGAATGTGCCGGAGTCACACATGGAGGGAGTGACTTCCTGCTGCAGTCTCTGGATTCTAAGTTGTTCAGACAAGATTCTGCCTATTTTGTTCGTTTATTCGTGAGAATATATACTCGTTATTACTGGTGTGTTGCTTTGCATTTGCATTGTGTTTACTGGCGTGATATACTCCTACATTGCCAACTGTGGTATCCTATCACTGTACCATAATGCAGTTTAGTGCATCTTTCTCCTACATGCAAAAAAAAAAATGTACATCATTTGTTGAAATTTACATGCATATAAGATCAAAATTGAGATATACGCAATCCTATTGTGTACCAGATGCTAGTATACTAGAACATTTCTTGCTTCAATCCTTCACCTGCCCTCTTCCTCGCTCTTGAGCATCTTTGAGAATACTCTCTTCATGGACATGCCGTCGAGGTCCCCCAGGTTCGCACTCACGGTGGCGTCTGTCACGACGCTTGAGATCGACGAGCTGCGCTGAAGCGTCGTGACAGAGCTGTCCGGCGACGCCACCTGCAGCTGCAGCGCGTACTCGAGGCACCAGAGCACGTCCCCCATGCTCGGCCGCTCCACGCCGTACTCCGCGAGGCACTTCTCGGCGGTGTCGGCGAACTTCTTGAGCGAGTCCGGCCGTATCGTCCCGGCAATTTTCTGGTCCACGATCCGGTCGAGCTCGCCGTCCCTGAGCCGCCGCGTCGCCCACTCCGCCAGGTTCACCATCTCCCGGGGCAGCGTCGGGTCGATGACGGCGCGGGCGCAGAGCACCTCGAGCAGGACGACGCCGAAGGAGTAGACGTCGGACTTCTCCGTCAGCATCTGCCGCCGGAAGTACTCCGGGTCGAGGTACCCGAAGCTGCCCTTGACGGCGGTGCTGACGTGCGTCTTGTCCAGCTCCGGCCCGGTCTTGGACAGCCCGAAGTCGGCGACCTTGGCCATGAAGCCGTCGTCGAGGAGGATGTTGGCCGACTTGACGTCCCGGTGGATGATCGCCTTGGCCGAGCCGGTGTGCAGGTAGTGCAGCCCCCTCGCGGCCCCGATGCACGCCTCCAGCCTCTGCTTCCACGGCAGCGGCGGCAGGTCGGAGCCGTACAGGTGGCTCCGGAGCGTGCCCTTCGCCATGTACTCGTACACCAGGATCATCTCGCCGCGCTCGTCGCAGTAGCCGATGAGCGAGACGAGGTGGCGGTGGCGCAGCTGGGACAGCAGCTCGATCTCCGTGCGGAACTCGTTGAGCCCCTGCTGCGACAGCCGGTTCCCGCGCTTCACGGCCACCTGCGTGCCGTCCCGGAGCGTGCCCCTGTACACCTTCCCGAACCCGCCCACGCCGATCACCATCTCCTCCTCGAACCCGCCCGTCGCCTCCTGCAGCGCCGCGAACGGGAAGCGGTACCCGGCGCCGGCGCCGGCGCCGTTCTGCCCCAGCGTGACGACGTTGACGATGCTGCTCCTGCCGAAGCTGGTGCGAGAGCGGGCGCCCAGCGCGCTCGCCGAGAACGGCACCCAGGTGTTCGACGGCTGCTTCACCGGCTTCTTCTTCCTCCGCAGCATCCTGACGGCGACGCACCCGAGAGCAATCGCCAACACCGCCCCGCCCACGGCCGATCCGGCGATGATCCCGGTCTTGATCTTTGAGCCGCGCGGCGACGTGGCGCCGTCGATGGAGCCGGTGCTCCCGACAATTCTCATGATCTCGAGGCCGTTCAGGAAGCCGCCGGGCAACGCGTTGGTTGCCGTCGATGACCCGATGCTCACCGTGATTGTACCCTTCGCCGCATCACTGGCGGCAAGGACGAAGTCCTTATAGAGCGGCGTGGCAAGAAGGCTGAACGTGTCGCCGGAAGACTCGTAGTCTTGGAGAACCCGCCACTGGCCGACGTAGACATTGAACACCACACCGAGCGTCGCCTTGCTGACGATGTCGCACAAGTGGAGCCGGAGGAGGTAGTCCGAGACGGCCGGTGCGTTGAACTTCCACGTCAGGTTGAGCTGCGCCTGCGTGTTGCCGACCATCGCCGCCGTCGTGTTCAACTCCGTCACGGTGGTGTACACCGCGGAGGGCGCCGTCAGCGAGGTCGCGTAGCCACTTTGGTACTTGATCATCGCCGGAGACACTTGATTGTGCGCCGCGAAGCTGCTCTCGTGCAGGAAGGTCCAGTCCGGCAGCCATGTCCTCCACAGCGTGTCGTTGTTCGGCGTGACCTTGGGCTCTCCCATGTTGATCCGGTGCACCGTCTCCAGCGCCTTCGCCGTCAACCCGGTGTACTGGGACTGGTTCCGCGGATTCACCATCGGCGCGGTGTCGCCGATGAGCTCGTCGGGATGGGACACCACCTCGATGGCGTTGACGAACGCCACCTTCTTGCCCGTCGGCGTGAACGCGATCACCAGCGCCCTACCGGTGATGTTCACGGAGAACTCCCTGACCACGGCCGTGCCGTTCTTGGGCGTGTACCCGTCGACGAACACCACGCCCTGCACGGACACATTGAACGCCGCGTCCGCGGCGAGGTCGTAAGACTGGTACCGGAAGGGGAAGAAGCGGAGGCGGACGAAGTGGCGGCCAGGCTTAGCGGAGAACGCGTAGTTGGCCGGCGCCGTGAACACGCGCGCTGACTGGTACAGCGCCGGCGAGTCGTCGCCGGCGCCAGTGACCTGGTTCGCCGGCATGTTGGCCTCGGTGCTCTGGGGCGCCATCAGCACCGAGGCCGGCAGACCAGCGTCCCCGACGAACGTCCGGCCATCGACGGTGGCGTTCCCGGACGTGCCGCAGAGGAAGAGGTAGCTGTCCGCCGGGGTGTACGCTCGCACGGCGGCGCATAGCACCGTGACAACGACGGCGAGCTGCACGAGCATCTCAAGAACGGTTGCCATGGCGCAAGAACTCCGGCCGCCAGAGCATCGGCGATTGATCAACGCGCTCTAGGCTAGAATAGAACCAGAGCCAAGCTGATCAGAGTAGGTTGCCCCACCATGGCCGCATGGGTGACGATCTCTTGTTCAGAAACCTGCAGCTTGACGACGACGATGTGAAGCTAGGAACAGGGAAGGCAACTGCTACCAACAGGAGAACTGAGCCTGTGCCTGGTTGGATTAGGGATGGATGAAGATAATACTCGAGTTTTGTAGGCTTTGTAGTGATGAAAGGGCTTGTGGAATAAGAACTTGTTTTGTTGTTGGTTGAGATGGGGGGTGTTTGATCAAGCTTGTGTTTAGCATATGGGTATTTGATTAGTTGGGCAACCCAAAAGTGTCATTTTCTGAGGATCCCAAGTACAGTACAACGGTAAGTTGGGAATTGGGATATATTTTATCAAGAACCTTTAAACGCTGTCATTTTCCTGGTTTACAGGTTGCACGACAAATCTTAGTCATTTGATTCGGTAGCTTTATTCCCTAATGTACAAATTAATTCTGAAGAAAAGTTCATTATTAATCCTGGTACTGAAGAAAGGGATGGAGAAAAATACAAAAAAGAAAAAACATGGTCCGGTTTTTGTGGGTACAGCTGATCGTTATCCTTCTTTTGACTCTACTGTGTGAGAACCACACCCACAAAGTACAAACCTACAAAAAATCTTTAGCTGTTCAACACTTGAAAAAAAAAACTCTGTTCAACAGTGACATGGTGAAAACAAGGGGCAACGAAGAATCCAGAACGATTGGTCCTTTTCCTTTTCCTGTTTTGATCGAACAAAATAAAGGCGATTATGATAGCTCGATGGCCGTAGTGCTCCGCTTTTCTTTCCTCTCGTCGTCGTCGCGTCGCAAAGTGGGGGAAGGAAGGAAGGAAGGGCCGAGGAAAGAGTCACCAACTACCAGGGTTAATTGGCACGCAATCGGATGGGGAGGCAGCCGTCGTTTTCGCCCCACCGTCGTGCGTGCCACTTGGGGATCATTTTTCTGAACCAGCCGGTGTACACGATCTGGGCCAGCAAATTATGATATTGGAGTCTGGATGTCTGACCATATCCTATGATGTTGTGATCTCGACCCGTTCTTGGAGCACCTGTTTTTGCACACAGCACATACAGGCACAGCATGCGTTCACTTTCCCAGTTTCCATCGTCAAATTGCCATTGAGACACATCTCAATCCTCAAGTGAGTACATGATCACCAGCTGCTGAACAAGTCATCAGCTGCTGCACCGAATGATAATAATGCGCATGATTTGGCACCGCTTGATCGATGTTAATGCTGATTAAAACAAACAAACGAAAAAAAAATATACGCGATGATGTCCATACGCGTGGGCGTGCATGGGTTGACCGGTGGCGGCGAGGCCGGGGGGCTCGGGGCGCTTCAGGTGGAAGACGGCTGGAGCTAGCGGTGGTGGCGTAGCGTGATGGCGCGGTGGAGAGAGAGGGGGAGGAAAGCGACACGCGCTACGCGGGGTAGGGGATTTTTAAACTCGGGAGGGGATCTCTCATTTTTTTTATGTCACTTAAATAATAATTAAAAAAATAATTTTTTAAGATGTATTAACATATGGGACATCACTATAGAAATATAAACATATAACTTAAAATTCAACATTTACATGTCGTAACAGGAAAAAATAAATTTAACTGTTAATATACATTAACTATAGTTTTTTCGTTACAATATATATTTTTCGTTGCAATATATATAAATTTTAAGTTACATGTTTGTGAAGTGATATATTTTATATTAATATATTTTTTAAAAATATTTTTAAAAATTTTATAACTATTTAAGTGATATGTAAATCGTTTGGAGAGTTTAAAATAGTTTTCTGGATCGATGGATGCATTCGCCCCCCCCCCCCTCCCCCCTCTCTCTCTGCGCGTCGTCGGGGGCGAGACGAGACGAGCCGAGCCCGAGCGGCTGCGTGCATGCATGCCAGGCCAGGCCACGATGATGATGATGATGTCGCCATCGCCTTCTTTTGACTTGACCACCCAGGCGGGCGTTCTGTTTCCGGGATGCGTACGTAGGGCGATCGTGTTTATTTTAGCTGTGATCACACATTCACGCACGTATTTTTTCCGTTTGGGTTGGTGATATCGAATTAACGATGGAGTCAATATAATGGGGGTGAGACATTATCGTAGCATCGGCATCGTTCCGTGGGAAACCCGGGAATGGGGCACGCAGTGGCCGCTGGTTTAGACTTTGGACACGGGATGACGGGGAAATTAAGGTGGGGAATACTACACTTGAACTATCCGTGTCAAGGTTTTGCCTGCACACTCGTGCCGATCACCGGGGACCCGTCGTGGGCACCAGTAGCCGACGAAGTTGGGGGAAAAGAAACGGTGCGCATCGATCGCGTGCGTGGACCACCGCCGATTCACGCCTTGCAGACCAGATCGAGTCACCACTCACCAGACGATGCCATGTTAGCGAGCGCCTCGTCGAGCAGCGGCATCCCCGTGACTGTCCATGGCTGCCGCGCGCGGCCTTGATGCAGACTTGACTAAAGACACACAGATCAACGCTAAGCGGCAGCCGTCGGGCTGTGCCACGCTGGGTTCGGGCAGTGACAAGGGAGGTAGTAGACTGCAGGAACTCGTCGAGGTTACTGTGGATCTGAGTGCACGCCGTGGAGGAGCGGCGAGCGAGGAATTAGCACGGGCGATGGTAGTTGACCAGGTTGAGGTAGACGTCGCGCAACGCGCGCAGCAGTGCCTGCCGGAGGTGGAGTACTGGAGCAGCAGCCCGCGGCCATCGACCACCGCGCGCCACGCCTTGCATACGCCGCGGGACGTGGCCAGGCTACGCGCCAGGAGGCGCCCGAGGATGTCGGCGAGCGGCCAAGCGCGTCGTCGGACTGCGCCGGCATCCTTGTCTCCCCATCGCTGCCACCCGCGCCATGCGCCCTTGATGCAGCCTTGACTAGGGCGGACAGCCGGAGGCCCGGAGACATGGGCGTGAGCTGGGCCAGCATCAGCCGAAGGCAAGAAGGAATAAGTTCACCTACCGTCCCTCAACTTTATGTTGAGTCTGTCTGATATCTCTTATATCCAATACCAAAAATCATCCTCTAAACTATATGAAACCATGCAATTTGGGTCCCATAACAGTATATATGGGTGGTTCGTTGACGTGACATCATAATCAGAAAAAATCTTTATCTTTTACATATTATAAAAGTTTAAGATGTTTTTGCCAACTTTTTTTTTTATGTCTTCCCTGGGCGCGCAGTCTGATTCCCCGTACGCAAAACGGGTCCACATGTAAGTGAAATAGTAGAATAATGTGGGGCCCGCATGTTAGCCCCAAGCCCGGGGTAGCCGGCGGGAGAGAGGGGAGGGGCTGTCGGCTGCGCTGGCGGGAGAATAGGGAGAGAAGGCCGGCCGCGCTGGCCGCGTCAGCAGGAGATGGGGGGGGGGGGGGGGCAGACTCCCACCCACCTGAAGTGACTCCGGCGCCGCCTGAGTTGGTTGGGACATCGCTCACCACGGCAAGACAGATGGCCTCGGCCATAGCCGGAACGCTGGCGCTCGGAGCCGGTCCGGCCACCATGAAGTAGTTCTCGACAGGGAGGTTCATCACGGAGCCGCCTTTGAAGTAGAGTGAAATCTTCGGCAACTCCATCGTCTTCGTCCTCGACGACATCGCGATGTAGGGGCTCAGGCCGAGTCCCTTCTCCTCGACAATGGAGCCTCCTCCAGTTCCTCGGCGACGAACGCCCTCTTCGGTAGCTGCACACTCTTCCTACGCACCGTGATGGCAATCAGAGCCAGGTAGTAGTAGACAGAGCACAATGGCCTTGTGCTCGCGCTTCGAGCCAACGGGATGTACTGCATCCTGACGTTGTCGTCTTTACCACCCGCGCCGCCGAGGATCAGCTCGTCGCTGGCGGTGGCATTGTCGTCGAACCGGCGAGCCAGGAGGAAGTAGAAGAATTTAGTGAGGCCCAGCTGGGATGGCACGGATGGGACGCCACAGCTGAAACCGGTGAGGCCGGACGACTGCTGGTACACGGACATGAGGCTGCAGCCGACGACGAAGTTCCTGATGGTGCGGCCCGGCGTGCGCAGCGTGTCGGATATGAGCAGTCTGGTGGTGGAACCCGAGCTGTATACGACTCCTATGGCGTCCGCTGCCAGCTCCATCTGCCACCATCCTCTGCATTCCACCGCCGCCACTCGCTCCACCCCACTGGCTTTGTGCGCTGCCGCTTCCCCCGACGCCGCCCCACCTGCCCTGCTCGTGGCATGGGAGAAAAATGGGGAGGAGTGCGGATGACATGTGGGTCCCACAAATTTTTTATTTCCTCGTTGATTAGAATGCTACGTTAGCGAAACCACCCATATATATTGCCATGGGGCATATTTTGCATGATTTTAAACATTGAAGGGGTAGATATTTGTGGTATTAGATATAAGAGATGTTAGACAGACTCGACGTAAAGTTGAGGGACAACAGGTGAACTTATTCCAGGCAAGAACCATAAAAAGGCTAGAAATGCTTTGCGTTGGGCCAAAACCGAGGCCCCGCGGCCACACCACGGCAACATCTTTGCCACAAAAATCCCGAAAAATTCGTGCCAACCCGCGCCCGGGGGGCGGGGGGAGGGGCGGGCGGGCGCGTTAGTCGGCCGCGCGGGCGTCCGCGCGAATGCGTTCCCCGCATCGGCGCGTCTCCTCCCTCCCCATTCCCAACCCGCGCGCGCCCCCTCCTCCCCCTCCTCCTCCTCTTCCTCCTCCTCCCTGGATTCCTACCTCTCGTTTCCCCGAGCAGACGCTCCCCTATCCCGCTGCGAAGGAGAGGAGGCGGTGGCGGAGGCGGAGGTGGAGATCGACCTAGCTAGCTAGCTCACGATGTCGTGGCTCCGCAACGCGGTGCACCGCGCGGTGGAGGCGAGCGGCGGGCCCCTCCTCACCCGCACCGTCCGCTCCTCCCTCGGCACCGTCGTCCACCACGCCGGCCAGGCCGTCGCGGGCGGCGCCAGGCTCATCAACGACCGCATCGTACGTGCGCGTCCTCTCGTGTATGGTTGGTTGCGGCCCTAATTTGATTCCGCCATTGTGTTTTGTTTCTTCGGGTAGGGGAGCCGGAGCTACAAGAGCATGAGGCTGACGGCGAAGAGGCTGGAGGACGCGGCGCTGTCCTACAGAGGGGAGGACCGGGTGCAGCTGCTGCGCCGGTGGCTCGTCATGCTCAGGGAGACCCAGCGCGCGGCCGCGGCGGAGAAGGAGGCGAAGCGCGCGGGCCATCCTGATCAACACCTGCCCGTGTTGGTGAGCATATATATATATGCGTATCTGATCTAGCTTTGCTTTGTGTTTCTAAACTACGTCGCGTGATCGATCGGGCATGAACTGGTGCTCATTTGCAGGATCTGTATATGGATTACGAGACCGGGGCCGAGCCGATGAACTTTATCCATGTCTTCCTCTACAGCCAAGCGCTCGAATGCCTCGTTTTATCCATGGTAGGTTGCATTTGTGCACTTCAATTTTGCGAACGCCTTGTGTGCGCTGGGTTGCTGCTATTTAGGTCACTGCTTAATGATTTGAAACAATTATCTCGTTCTCTATGGATCAGATTATGGAATTCCCTACTGAAGAAGAAGCCTCGCTTCTCTCAGAAGTTTTTGGGCAAGTTCTTCAACCATTTCATGTCTAATTACTCGTTTCCAGTTTTTGTTGTGGCTTTGGAATGTGAAGGAAAACCTTGAAATTTTCGCTCATTTACTGTTGTGGTCTGTGGATGCTGCATGCAGATTGTGTCTTCCTGGAGGAAAGGATGTCCACAATGCAATACTTAGTAGCATAAAGGAGTTGGCAAAGTTATTTTCAACTTACCATGATGAAGTGTTGGTACATACTTCCTGTTTTCTTCCTCTAATATCAAAGCCAAAGACTGGAATTAAAAAATTCCAGTCTAACTGTAGACCTCTTAGTTCCAGAAAACCTCCTTAGCTCAGCCACTTGGTCCATGGGTTGATCTTTGAAACTTTCTAATGATTAAATTAGATGCCAGAAAAATCATAAAATTTATTATTTATAAATATGTTCTTCTTTGTTTTTCCTAACCAGGCAAAACGTGCTGAGCTGCTTCAATTTGCTCAATGTGCAATCTCAGGGTTAAAAATAAATCCTGAAATTTCAAGGTTAGCTCTTTCTTTTGGGAGGAGGAGGGTTTGTTTTGGTAATTCACGGTTGCACGCGTATTTTACATGATCCAAAACTCTGTTTCTTCTTAATTCCAGATTAGATGATGAAATCTTGCAGCTACAACAACGGATAAATGGAATGGACGCTCTTCGATCTAATTCGACCAGTAGGCGTAGCAAAGCATCACAAACAGTCGCGGAGGTAGGTCTAGTTTATTTACCTTCACAGAATCACAAATGCTACCTTTAATTGTGCTATATGAGCTGGTGACCTATCAAAAGAAGAGAAATACAGACTAATTTTGTTGTTTGGTCCATATGTAAGGTTGACATGTTTAGACTGTGGACTATGAAAGACTTTGTCAATGCTCTGATTAATAAATTTTGAATTACCCACTATTTCAAGAAATTGGAGTTTGGAGATTATAGAACTGCACTTTGTGCATATGCATAATGTTTTTATATTGTTTCTATACATGCATTTATGTTCAAATGCACACCCACTCTTTGGTTTGTGCTAAAACGACAAATGTGTGAGTATGGCCTACTAAAAACATTACTGTCCAGCGTCCATGGAAAATGAAGAGAAGAGAGTAGTTAATAATGACAAGTGATCACATATTAATTGCATTATCCTTTCTAAGAAGTGCATAAAAATGTTCATTTGTATCCCTGGAATTTTTTATCATCTGACAATTCATACTTATTCTTGCTGGTTATTTGAATGCGGACAGCTGTGTATTTTTTCATACTATTTGCAGGGTTTCAGAACTGCAGTTAATGAGATTCGCTTATGCTCTAGAATGGAAGAACTTGTATTGATGAAGAAATCAATGCATCATGGCAACTCATTCGAGACTTATTTTGAGAAGGCATGATATTTACAATTCCTATATTAATTTGGATTTGTGTCATTGTTCTGGATAGTTCTTCATTCTAGAATTCATATTTAACACATCAATAACAGTTATCTACTTGTCACCCCTTTTTACCCCCGATATGTGTTTACTACTTTAATATCCATCTCATAAAACTTTGCAGGTTAATAAATTGAAGGTTTTGTCAGAATCACTTGCAAATTCAGCTGCAAAAGCAGAAAGGAGAATCATGGAAAATAGGTTTCTGTCTTAATCATGATGTGTGTATTGCATTCACTTTGAGCGATTTAGCATGTAGTTATTTCACAGAATATGAGGGCGGTCAAAGTAATTTTGGTGCAGTATAATTGGTACAGCTTGAAATGATATCTAGATTTTATAGTTAGTGGTGATATGTAGATTTTAGGAAAAATAATTATATTATGTTGTACTTTTCACTTCAGAACCGCTTTATGTTGCCACCAAAATTAATGAAATGACCCTTTCTGCTTTGATGTGAATTTTGTGGCTTATGTCTGCAATGTAGGCTACAAAAGGAGGAATCTCTTATTTTCCGAGTTACCAAAACAAATGAAGTTAGTGTAACTGAAAAGGTAACTCCTTTGCTATGAGCCTGTGAATTACCACTCCAACTATTGTGGACGTTGTTGTACTTGCATACATATACATATACAACGAGGAAACTTGGCGTTTATCTTGCATTCAAATCAATAAATAGTTTTACATATATTTTCCTGAAGCACAAAGAAGACCATCTTAACTTGATCTATCATGTCCATCTAACCATTATTTCTGAAGGATAAAACATAGCTGGACTTCTGAACTTCTCTAACATCTTCTTCAGTAGTCATTATCATATAAACTAGCATGGTGGCCCGTGCAGATTGCGCGGCTAGCATCATTATATTTTCTCTCATATAATAGCATATATGTTTTCTCATTATATCAAATTTTAGTTATTTGTAAATTATATATAATCCTATATGGACTCTAGACTCGTCTTTTAATTTTTTTTTTAATTCCGAATTTTCTGTAAATTGTATTTCTATATAGGCTCTATGCTCTTCTTCCAATATTATTTATTTTTATTCTGAATTTTTATTATTTCTAGTTGTATTTCTATGTGGACTCTAAACTCATCTTTCAATATTCTTTAATTTTTAATTTCGAATTTCAGTTACTTCTAAATTGTATTCCTATATTGACTTTAAACTCTTCTTTCCATGTTTTTCTTAATTTCGAATTTTAGTTATTTGTAAATTGTTTTTTTATACGGACTCTAAAAACTCTACTTTTAATTTTATTGTGTTTATTCCAAATTTTGGTTAGTTTTAAATTCCTATATGGATTCTATAGTCTACTTCTAATATTCCTTATTTTTTAATTCCGAATTTCTATTTTTTCTTAATTGTATTTCTATATGGACTCTATACTCTACTTCTAATATTCCTTATTTTTAATTCCAAATTTCTATTATTTCCTAATTGTATTTCTATATGGACTCTATACTCTACTTCTAATATTCCTTATTTTTAATTCCGAATTTCAGTTATTTCCTAATTGTATTTCTATATGGACTCTAGTCTCCTCTTCTAATATTCCTTATTTTTTAATTCCGAGTTTCAACTATTTCTAAATTATATTTCTATATGGACTCTACTCTCCTCTTCTAATATTCCTTATTTTTTAATTCTGAATTTCAGCTATTTCTAAATTGTATTTCTATATGGACTCTGCTTTTTCTTTTTCTCCGATTAATGTGAGAATTTCTAGGCCATGAGAGCGAACGTGAAGGCTTATTTTTCTATTCCTTTAATAATATAATAGATAGATTGTGTTTAGTTTCTGAGTTCTGATTGGTTGCCTTTCCTTTGAAGGAAATACTGGCTGAGATCTCTGGGCTTCAGAAGCAAAAGGATCTACTTGAGGATGAACTAAAGAAAGTATGACGATCCATTCTTTTTCCCTTTTTGTACGAAATAATGTTCCCAATCCAACCTTTTGATTTATTTCATTAAGAATCACAACATGCTGGTAATTTCTTGCTTTCAAATTCAGTAAATATGTCTATTTTACTTTTAAGACAGCTTGAAAAGAAGGCACCACGTTCGCTGTGGAGGCTAGAAATTTCCACATTAATCGGAGAAAAAGAAAAAAAAGAGTCCAAGTAGAAATACAATCTGAAAAATAACTGAAATTCGGAATTAAAAATAAGCAATATTAAAAGAGGAGTTCATATAAGAACCCAATACGTGATTAATTAAAATTCAGAATAATAAATAAATAAATTGCTGAAATTAGAAGAAAAGAAAAAAGAGAGTTCGAGTAGGAATACAAATTTAAAATTACTAAATAGATTTACTGTACAAAAGATAATCATATCAATCTAATTATGGATCATACCATCCGTACTAGGAGTCCTTGTCCGTTTAGAAAAATCAATTGCAGAACTTATAGAGTTCTAAACCAACATACATTCCCGCACATATATAGGGTGGAGATACCAGGCCAGCACGCTTAGGCTGCAGCAGCAGAAAAATAATACAGTGCCCTCATTTCATACAAATCCATATATAAGAACCCAATACGAGATTAATTAAAATTTAAAATAAAAAATAAAATAAAACACGAAATTAGAAATAAGAAAATAAAAGAAGAGTTCAACTTGGAATGCAATTTAAAAGTAACTGAAATTTGTAATAAAAAATAAAGACTATTTAAAGAATACACCATCTGGAACACATAACGAGATTAATTAAAATTCCAAATAATTAATAAAATAAATTCTAAAAATAGAATAAAACAACTAGGAATATAATTTATAAATAAAATCTATCGGAACGAAAAATATGGAAATTTCAAAAAAAAAATCATCTAGAACACAATGATGATAAATGATAATAAATATCGAAGAAGTAACAGGGTTGTAAAGGAGTAGAGTGGTGACAGTTGATGAGACATCTAAAAACTATTAACAAAACCCCATATAGAATCCCAATGACAATTAAAAGGAGTGACGACGGACATGCCGTTAAGCAGAATGGTCACGACGGTTGGCGGGATTTCCAAAAAATTAAAAAAATAAACCTCAATGATAATCACATTCGATTTTAAAATCTCAAATATAATAAAGAGTGGGAAGAAGCGGGCGAGCCGTAGAGGAGTACAAACGGTTTGATGAGACTCTAGAGAGTAAAAATTGAACTCAAACGATAATTATGTTCGATTTTTAAAATCCCAATGACAATAAAGAGAGGAAGCAGCGGATAGGCCGTAGAGAAGTATATTGGCAGCTTTTAACGGGACTTCTAAGAATAAAAAAATGAAACCCAATGAGACAATAAACTCAAAAAAACTACAAGATCCAATTTTTAAAGGTTAAAAGGAGAATGAATATAAGCCATGGTAGATCGAACAAGCAAATAAAGATAGGGTGACAAAAAAGTAAGGGGTAACAACTGATGTGACTTTTATAAAAGTTACAACATTAGAAATACGGGGTTGATATGGTTTGGTCTTTCAAAGTCTTAAGACAATGAAATATCTATTGAATAAATTATAAGTAAAATCATATTAAAAATAGATAATTTTGTATGGGTGCTAGCCACGCAATTGCGCGGGCCACCCAGCTAGTTTCCATAAATGCATCAGCATGAACCACATTAAAGAAATTATGTATGATTTTTTTTTGGGGGGGGGGGAGGAGCTCTTCCATTCAATTAAAAAATAAGCGTTGCAAACAACCTAGAGATGCACTGCACAGTGTCATCTTAGTGAATTGCACCACAGATTTACGAAAAATCTAAAGGGACACCAACCAAAACACCTCAAAAGCTACGGATTATGTTTTTCATGCTATTATAAGGTTGAGGTATAGTTGGTTCTTAGAAAAAAGAAGTTGAGGTAAGTTCTGAATCTCTCGTACTTAATAGTGCTGGTCAGTGTATGAGAACTGGGAAGATATCCTGGAGAAACACTCAGGGTGTAGATATGAGCTTCGAATAAATTGTAACTTTAAATTGTGATTTATGGCCTTAGTAGTACCGCACAGATGTTCTTTTTAATCTCATACCTGATTTAACAACATAAAAGTTTTAACGGATTTATAATAGAAATTTGTCATTCTACTTCGAAACCATATGAAGTATTTGCCAAATTATTTACCACTGTTTGTTAGGTTTTACTGTTCTTAGAAGTTACGATCCCTTGATAGAAATATTTGTAAGAGTGATTCTGAAACTCAGATTACAGGTAAATAATATACTGAATGCGGCTGTAATGAAGCTTAAAAAAACTAGAGAGGAGAGAGACCAATTCGATGAAGCCAGCAATCAGATTGTGCTGCACTTGAAAGCAAAGGTTTGGTAACCTCTTCTTTTTCAGTTTCTAGTATTAGACAGCTTTATTGCAAGCTAGGATTTCACTTGCTCACCGTTTTCTGCCATATTCATACTCTAGGAGGAAGAACTGTCAAGATCTATTGCTTCCTGCAAAGTTGAGTCAAGCACTGTCGGTGCATGGATCATATTTTTAGAAGATACATGGAAGTTGCAGTCTTTGTATGAAGAACTAAGGAAAAAACAAGCCAAGTATGTAGCCTCTCTTTTAGTGAAGTATTGTGTGATTTCTCTATGAAAATAGCATTAATAGTCATGCGAAATTTTTATGTACAAAGATTTGCTGATATATGTTAGTACGTTACACTGTTTTGAACTTTTCTTGTTGCAGTGATGAACTGGACAAGTGTGCGACTTGCTTTGCAAAATTGATTAATCATCATCTTTATGCACGAGTGGTACTTCATTTGACTACTATCACGGTACTATTTACAAAGGCCTTTTGCATAGCCTATTACTTCTCAATTTGTTGTTTCCTTTTGTTTTCTAGGAAGAGCTGAGCACTTGCATTGATAGTATAAAGACCTTTGTTGATAACTTGAAAATATTTGATAACAGGTATAGCTCTCACTTGCTAGTTTAGACTACTTGCGCTGTTGCACATGAAGTTATCCTGATGCTAATTCCTCTTACTGAATCACCAGATCGGTATCAGCGGAAGATGGAAACAATGGTTCGTCCAAGCAATCAAATCCACGTAAATACCTTGAGGAAGAATATCTGGAAGCTGAGAAAAAGGTCATCTTAACTCTTTTTTGTACTGCTTGCTAAAAATAGAGATGCTGGTAGCCTAGTAGAGGAGAACAAGCTGAGATCAGGAAACTGGTTCCTGAAAGGTTTCTGGTGACATTTATAATTACCTTTTGTTCTATTTCAGGTGGTAGCAGCATTCAGTTTGGTTGATAACATCAGAGCAATATATTTGTCCAATCAAGATTATCAAGCCAGGTAGTTGTTCAAACTATTAGGAGTGTTTACAATCCATAAGAAGGTACCAGGAGTTAGCCACACTTTCTGATGTTAATTTGTGATACCTCCTGCTACATTTATAGTGTAAATTGGCATTACAAAACGTGATGCTCTTAGTATCTTCTCAAGAATGGTAAATAAGCTCGACTACTAGAGCCATCTGGTGACCTACTTTGCTGTAAAAAAAAACACTAGAATCATGTGTTTTGTGTTTTTTTTTTTGCAGGAGAGATGATCCTGACGTGAAAAAACTATTTGCCAACATTGACAAGCTGCGGGTCGAGTTTGAATCGGTTCCACGGCCACTGCTGCAAATCGAGATCAAAGAAAGAGAAGAGAGAGCAAAGCAATCTCGTTCCTTGCAGGCTGCTCGCTCATCAAGACAAGCAGGACACGAGTCCCCAATACCTGCTCAACTCAGGACACGCCTGCCATCAGAGTCCGACTCAGAACTGGCGAAATCTGACCCAGAGTACAGGGAGTATTCGGCTGATGACATAAGTGGGTGGGAGTTTGATGACCTTGAAGATGATGGGGCAAGGCTTTCAGTGAAATCTATATAGGAGGAGCATCAAATCTGGGCTCAAGTCCTGAATAGTTCGTGTAGGGATAGAATCACTGGCCCAAAAATTTGGAGAACGTGTTGTAGTGGAGTGCTGTGTACAAAACTGTACATTGTAGCCTTCGTTGCCGTAAAGATTTCTTTGCTTCATCTTGTGAACGTCGTGTTGTCTAACTGCACATATGTCGGACATTGGTAGGAGAGCCGTTTACGGTTTATGATGTGTCGACCTCTGTATTGACCATGCGTGTACGTACTTACAAATTTGCGCCGTATATGCTATCCTGTCCTGCTAAAGTCAACTTCCTCCTCTTTTGTTCGTCTGCGTCTTGCTCTTTTTTAGCCTTTGTTCTTTTCTCCTGCTTTACTTGACAACAGAAAGATCAAAGATGCTAAAAGAAATGGGGGGAAAAACCAAAAGAATCTCTCAACCCTTTCTCTGCACAAAGGTGTAGCCCTACCTTTCTCAGCCTCTATTTTTTTTATATTTTCAATTCATAAATGTTCTTTATCTACATATGGAGTAAAGAGGCCGTTAGTATTTTTTTTGTCTCGACAGTATTTACAACATTTATTTCTGAAATTTGTGAGCTCTGACCATTTGCAGCAACGGGGGAAGAAAATACGAGAGAAAGGACTGTCACAATTGTACTAGTAGTAACAGCAAAGGTATCATCTTATCCCCCACCACTACCCCTTCCCTCTCCCAAAGCATCATTCTTCTTTTGATCCAGGATTTGTTTACAAACTTTCCACCCCTTAACACCTCTAAGATACATGGAATACTACATAGGTCCTGTTTGGTAAAGCTCCAAATCCTAAATATAACTCCAGGAGTTGAGTCTGCAGTGGAGTTGTGGAGCTATCTAAACCCAGCTCCACAACTCTAGTAGATTTTGTGAGAGAGCTTCACCCAACTCCAGCTCCTGGAGAGGTAGAGCTGGAGTTATGCCAAACAAATCCATTTATATAAGTACATGAATCTAGTCACTCTCTGGTTTGTGATTTATACTAACAAGTAGTACCATGTACACTACAAGCACCACCTCACTACACAGCACATCAGTACAAAGACAACAACAACTACACACATCCAAAATTGCAAATCCAACAAGAGAGCAGAGCTCACCCAGCCACCCACTCACACACACCCTCACATCTGATCTAGTGGTATGAGTGAGCACAAGACAAACCCTGGAATCAATCAGCCTCCAAAGACAAGGGGGGCCCAAGCTGCCACCCCTCCATCCCAATTCTGTTTTCTTGGATCCCTCTCCTGCCAATGCTGCCACTGCCAATGCCTTGCCCATAAAAGTTTTTCAAACACTCCTGCCAGCCACTGCCTCTGCCCCTCCATAACTCCTCTCCTCCTTCCCCCATTTGGCCATCTTTGCCCGGACGATCGGACCAAGCAAGCTGCAAGCTGCTGCTGCTTCCACTCCATGTGCCCCAGAGCAGCCATGGCGAGAGCTTCTGCTCAGTGCTTTGGAGAGGAGGAGTACATCGACCTGGATCTCAGTTCTTGCCGGGGGTTCGAGTTCCGGGTGTGCCGGAGCGCGGCGGCGCCACCGCCCTGCGGGGATGAGATGCTCTTCCGGGGCAGCAGGCTGCACAAGGCCAAGCATCAGCAGGAAGCTGACGCGGGCGGCGGCGGCGGAGGTGGAGGTGGATGTGGCGGCGGCAGGAGGAGCACCGCGACGGTCGCGCCGTGGCATGCTGCTGCTGCTGTTGCGGGGATCCGCAATGCGCAGCCCGCGGCCAGGATGCAACGACAGCCGGACGGCGGCGCCACCGGCCGGCGCAAGAAGGGCGCCGCCGGGTCCGTGCACGCGAAGCTGCAGGCGTCGCGTGCCTTCTTCCGGTCCCTGTTCGCCAGGACCTCGTGCTCCGACGAGCAATGCCACGGCGTCGGCGTCCGGGCCACCACCAGGAGCAGCAGGGCGGCCACCGCGGCTAGCGGAGCGGCCGGGTCCGTCAAGCCGGCGCCGTTTGGCCAAATCAGGAACAGCTACGGCAGCTGCAGCGGCAGGGGGGCGGCGGCGGCGCCGACCACCCTGAGGAGCAGCATTGAGCAGGAGAAGCTGATGGACGAGGAGGAGCACGCGGCCAGCGTCCGCCAGCGCAAGTCCTTCTCCGGAGTGATCAAGTGGCGTCCTCCGCCGGCGCCTGCAGCCGCAGCCGCGAGGCCGCCGCCGCCGCCGGCATTCCCGACGAGGAGGAGCTCCTCGGCAGCGAGTGACCCGCCGCTGAAGCGATGCAGCAGCGCCCGGTCCGAGTCGGAGGGGCTCATCCAGGGCGCCATCGCCTACTGCAAGCGCTCGCAGCAGCAGCTCGTGCTCGCCAGGAAGAGCGTCAGCGACGCCGCCCTCTGCTCCCTGCAATTCCAAATCCAGCTCTAGTGTGTAGCCTCCTCCTCCTCTTCCTCCGATTACTACGTGTGCATGCTAGCTAATTATAAATGGTTCCTAAAATGATCACGACGACGACAATAATGTGAAGTGATTCTCTTTCTTTCTTTCTTCCATTCATCTCATCACTGCCCACGTACGCCATATTTTTTTTTCTTCAGAGAAAGAACAAAAGGCAATTCAGAAAACAGGTATATCAATAATTCAGCTGCAAAGCAAACAAACTCATCATCAATTCCCGTAAAAACCGGGGAGTTCTGCAACGTCCTCTGAAACAAAGAACGGCGCACATTTTTCTTGTCAGCCTGGGCCGCTCCCGCTGCCGCTGCTGGCGGGCTCAGAAATTGTTCTGACCAACTGCCGCTCGCTCATTCAGTGCGATAGTAAAGAGCGCCATTAAACCCCAAGCCTGAAACGCAGCGCTCAAGCTAGCTACTAATCAGAACAAAACTAAAATTTTGGAGGGACGTGGCTGTTCAGATTTATAGTGCTGTGTAACGTTCTTTCAAAATTCTCTATATTTTGGGATGGAGTGAGTACTATAATAAGAAACCAAACTAAAATTAGATATGATGTTTTTTAAAATTTATTGTATTAGAAAATATCACATTCCATGTTAAATTTGAGCCTCATCAGTTGGCCTAATAAGCTAAAGCAAAGTCAAAATTTGAATTTTCTTTAACTTGATCTCAACATAACTTGATCTTTAACGTTGGTTTTAAAATTGTTACGAACAAATATATAAAAGTTTTATTTATAAATTAATTTTAATTTTCTACTAAATCGTTTTGACTTATTAGGGAATATATAGGTAACCGATGATGCTCTTCCTTTAGGCCCTGTTATAGTTCTAGGGGTGAAAACTTTTGGCGTGTCACATCAGATATACGGACACACATTTGAAGTATTAAATGCAGTCTAATAACAAAACAAATTACATATTCCATCTGTAAACTGCGTGACGAATTTATTAAGTCTAATTAATCCGTCATTAGCAAATGTTTACTGTAGCACCACATTATCAAATCATGGCGTAATTAGGCTTAAAAGATTCATCTCGCAATTTACACGCAATCTGTATAATTAGTTTTTTATCTATATTTAATACTCTATACATGTGTCTAAACATCTAATGTGATAGGCCGAAAAGTTTTTACGTGGGAACTGTCTTATGACGATGGAAGTAGTCGCTATCCCCTCCGCGAGCCCACCACTAGCCACGCCACCCACCACCAGACCAACGAAGAAAAATACGCAGCAATCGCCGCGATCCGCGAGAAAACGCGCGCGATGCGGCCGTTGATAAGCGGTAGATCGATCGATAGATCGCGCAACCAGCCAACCAACCACCCGCACTCGCTCGATCGGTCATACTACTACTATTACTAGCTGGTGCTCCTACCTCGGAGATGTTTGGTGGGGGGCAGAGGCACATCTCGCGCACATGACATGGCCGCCAGTTTTGGTCTTACATTATCGCCGGCAATTAACGTCGTGGAGTACAACTACGACCAGTCGCAACGCAGTACCGTTCTGCTTAGCCATAATTCTTTGACCCCCTCCCCATGAAGAGTGGAAGACCCCCCCTTTGCCTTGATTGATGGGAGCTGAATTTGCTGATCTCGCCGAAGAACTGCACAGTTTCTGCAACCGAAACAAACCTTATATCGAGCTAGTAGTGGTAGTAGTAGTGACCACGAGGAATCGCGATGCGTGCCAAAGCCAAGCCAGAAATTTCTCGCTTTAGACGCCGAGGAAAGCGTCTTTTACTACATGTGCAACTTGGCGGGCTCCTCCTCCCTTTCTCTCCCTGCTCACTCACCGGTTTTCAGTTTTCTCCAGGCGATGGCTACGCGCTCTACTCGAGTGGAGCTCAAAGGCACGCACACGACGAGAGAGAGAGAGAGAGAATGAAAGGAAAATACAGCGAAAAGGCCTTTACTTAGGCCTAGCTAGCTCACCGTGCATGTGCCCGAGATGAGATGTGGGATGCATTGGTGCGGTTACACCTGTGGGAACAGTAGCAGTATAGCTAGCGCTATCATGGCGACTTTTGGTTTTTGGATGAAGATAACAACAGCTTTGGGGTGTGCAAGCCGTGCATGCATTGCGTTGCATGCGTGCATGTGTGTGTGTGCGCGCGCGCGCGCAGCGCACACATCTTTCGCTGTTCATCGCGCTCGCCAACACAGCCTGTACCGGACGCAGCCAAAAGCCATTACAAACAAAGGCGATGGCAACGGCACGGCGTAAAATTTGAGCCGTACTTTTTCTCGATCTTGGTCTCTTTTTCGCGTATACCGATGCGCGAGCAGGACGTTGGCTTGGCTGGCCAGATCGCTCGCCGTCGCTGAAGACGAGAGGAGACCGGACGTCCCCGGTGGGGGCAGGAGACCGGACGCAGCGCTGCATTCTCTTGTGTACAGTAAGGTCAACTCCTCCAGGTTGCTCAAGAATTTTGTTCGTATGCTGAAGGATTTTGGTTCGAATTGTTGCGGAGCAGGTAAATTTAGTTTGCCACGTAAAAAGAAGAGGTTACTATGTACGAGCGGTAAACCTCTGGTTTCCTAGTACAGTAGTACTGCCAATTGACAAAAAACTATTGGCAAAGGGCTAATTGCAAGCAATAGGGTTGAGTAAATTGACACTGCTACTATGGAACTTATCCACCCATTGGAATTCGAAATTTGATGAATAGAGAGACATGTATGGGAAAAGTCTATTCGACCTTAGAAGGACGACTCTTTGTTTTTACATATTATCCAAAAAGTAATTTTTTTCTCTGCTATATATTTATCGAATGTAAATACAATATAATTATAATGTAATTAATTGTAACTTGTATGTAATTCCAATGTTACTTGTATGTAACTTTTATATAATTTTTGAACCGCTATATTTACCTCAAGATTTGTGTAAAATGGGAAGAAAAAAGCACAGCGCACACACAAGGTGAGGGTATTTGGTCCCCCGATCTCTACTTTATGTAAATAGTGTGTTATTGCAGGATTTTTAAAAAATACATATAAGTTACAATGTAATTATACTATGATTGTAATATATTTACATATGACAAATTTTGGGATAATAATTTATTTTTTAAAAAAAGTAAGGTAGATCAGTATATGCAAGTTCAAATTCAACTTATACATATAGAAAAATAAAAAAAATAACTTCGAATTGATATGAAACAAGTCAACAACCATGAATTATTCAGAATCTTTGCTTATGGGTTGGATGGGGTTGCCTCACCGATGACGCACACGACTCGATGAGGGGATGGCATTGGATCGGTCCACCCCCACTGTCCTTGCCACAACCACCCTTCCTTCTCCCCCCTTCCGCTCCATGTCCAGTATCGGGGGTGAATCGGCCCCGTCACCTGGGCGCGTTAGCGAGGAGGAAGAGAGGTCGTGCATTGGTCCCTCTGTCCTCTCCCGCGGCCCACGCCACGCCCTCAGCCACTGCAAGTGTCTCAACGTCAGGCTCCATGACAACGGTGACCATAGCCACGCTGCTCCTAGCGGTCGGCGTGCTCCGATTGTGGACTACGCAAACTATGTGGGTGGTGGTGTTAAATTTTATTGCTATGTTGATACATATTCACTGATATACGGGCTATACATGCTGACTCAGCCGGTTGGATTATGTCAACGACTCACGCGAGTCACGTCAATATAAACTGCCCTCAAAACAGTAGAAGAAGACAAATTACGATGGTTTTATTAGTTGGGGTTATGATATATGGTACTGCGATTGATACGTACTCCCTCCGTTTCACAATGTAAGACTTTCTAGCATTGCCCACAAACATATAGATGTTAATGGATCTAAACACATATATCGTTGTTATGATATATCGTTGTATGTATGATACATCTTGTATGTGTTTAGATTCATTAACATCTAAATGAATATGGACAATACTGGAAAGTCTTACATTGTAAAACGGAGGAAGTATGTGATTGGACGTATGTTTGAGCAGAAAATCTGCTGCATGGTGTCCCGTTGGTACGGGACACATTAAATCAGCCTAACCGTTACCCACTATTTATTGAAAGGATTCAAAGTGGCCTTACAGACTGACCTGCACGAAGCAACTGGGCCGCCGAATAACGGAAATGGTGACAAGGCCCGTTAGACTGGTTGGGCTGGACCTTTACTTTGGTTACCAGCACCAAGGTTCACAATTTTGGCCCGAATTTTGGGGTGTACTGGGTTCCAGTAGGGCATGTGTGTCTCGCCGAAAGAAATTAAAGTTAGTTCAAAATCAATAAAATATGTTTAAAATTTAAAATCCGGATTAGAACGACACGGATAACTGTTGTCGGACACCATGTGCACACACAGCTCTAGTAATAGTCCTCTCAGTCTCACTGCTAGCTTAGCCTGCACGATTGCTATCCGTGTCTGCTCATCTATTCCTGTTTATCCTGTGAGTTTGCTACAGAATAGGAATAATAGCAAAAAAAAAAAATCCGCTCAGCGTGGCACGTATCGTTCCTTGTCTACGCCTGTACGCAGCAAGCAAAACCTACGTACGTACGTGATGAGTCTCCTTTGCTCAGATACGCCACACGGACATATGGATCCGTTTGTTTTCGCGCGACGTGTGAGATGAGATGATGCGGATTGGACGATCCATCTTGATGATCAGATGGCGTACATCCGCTTGAACTCCTCCTCGACCCACTCGGCCTCGGACATGCCGGACGCCGAGAAGGATCGCGAGCGGCTGAGCGAGGATCGCTTGATGCTCCGCATGCGCTTGGCCTCGATCCGGTGCGCGATCACCCAGTAGAGCATGGTGCCGATGGTGGTCACCAGGATGGTTGCCCCCATGATGGTCACCCCGACGGCCAGCCACCGCTCGGCTTTTCCCACCACCACGAACGACAGCGCCAGGAACGCCACGCTCACCAGCACGCACGCCACCCACATCAGCTTGTTGATCACCGCCATCATCTGCTTCTTCGCCTTCCGCTCGATCACCACCACCGACGTCTGCACCACCACCACCGCCAGCGAGATGAAGAGCGCCACCGAGTCGAACACGAAGAAGATGAGGAACGCCGTCTGGTGGGAGATGTTGGCCTCGCCCAGCGCCTGACCCGGGGTCAGGCTGCCCGCGTCGTCCACGTACTCGCCTGGCACCGTGAATATCGCCGCGAACGCCACCGTCGCGATCAGCACCGCCACCACCGTCGTTGAGTTGATGGCGTTGTTGAGGCCCTCGTCGTGGAGCTTGTTGATCTGCTTCGCGATGCCCTGCATCCGCACGCGCGTCTGCCGCGTCTGCTCCAGCTGGGAGTGCACTTCGTGCTTGATGTCACTCACCTGCTGCTTCAGCTCGCGCCCGGGGTTGCCGCCGCCGCCGCCCGTCGGGCTCATGGCGCGCGCCGACGGGACTCCGTGCTCCGCCAGCACGGCCACCGACTCGGTGTTGCCCATCTTCTCCGCCGTGTCGAACGCCGTCTCGCGGGACCGGTTGATCGCCTTCAGGTCGGTGTCGGGGAGCTCGAGCAGCCGCTTGACGATCGGGGTGCGCGCCTTGCGGGCGGCGATGTGCAGCGCGGTGTTGCCCTTGCTGTCCGCCAGGTTGAGCAGCGTCGGCTCGCCGGCGAGGAGCGCGTCGACGATGTCGAGGCGGGTGCCCTTGGCGGCCATGTGCAGCGCCGTCTGCCCCTTCTTGTCCACCCGCGCCGCGATGCTGGGCTCCGCCTCCATCAGCGCGCGCACCACCTCCACGTGCCCGTTCCTCGCCGCCGAGTGCAGCGCCGTCTTGCCGTTGCTCCGGGCGATCACCGCCAGGCTCGCGTCCGCCTCCAGCAGCAGCCGCACCACCTCCATGTGCCCCTGCGTCGCCGCCGTGTTCAGCGCCGTCGTGTTCGACGCGTCCACCGTCATCGACAGCTCCGGCAGCGCTTTCAGCAGCTCGTTCACCACCTCTACAAAGACCACTCCAACAAACAAACATCAACATCTCCAAAGATCCATGTCGAGATGAGTGGCAAGAATTTTGGCGGCAACAATGGCGCCACGATCGAGTCGAGCATTATCCAATACCTACATCCCCTTGCTTGGCGGCAATGTGGAGGGCGTCGTAGCCGCTCCGGGCCTTGATGCAGGCGGTGGCGACGTCGTGGTACTTGATCATCTCGGCCACCAGGGCCACGTACCCGTACTCGGCGGCGACGAACAGCGGCGTCTCGCCGGCCTGATTCTGCTTCGACAGGAGCGCCCGCAGCTCGTCCGGCGGCGCGCCGGACAGCGTCTGCTGCACGGCGACGAGCTGCCCGGCGCGCGCCGCCCCATGCAGCGCCGTGTCGTCCCGCTTCCCCGTCAGCTGCTTCGTCATCTTCTTCCGCCGCGTCGCCGCCTGCGCCGCCGCCTTCGCCGGGTCCATCCCCGCAGCCTGCTGCGCCGGTCGCTGCTGCCCGTCGCCGGATTGTTGGTTCTTTGCGTCCATCAGAACTGGAGGCGTGTCACGATGATGCAGCAACAATGGCTAGCTGCAACGACGAGATGAACAAGAACACTCCATTAGCAACACTCTTCTCTCTTTCTTTCCTTTTTTTTTTGACCACTTGGGTGAACTCACCAACCAAATTACCCAATCCTAAACCATTATGGAAATAAAATCTATGGAAAGGGAACAATGAAAAGAACAACATCACCAGCAACAAAATAAAAAAATGACGGAAAAGTTCATTGGAAAAGATAAAATAAAGAAGTATGAACGAAATGCAAAAGAAGGCCGGCCGGCCGGCTAGTGCTAGTGCCATGCAAGTGCCCTCCCCACTCCATCTCCCTCCACAAAAAAAAGCTCCTCCATTTGCACACCACAACGCACCAGATCACGCGATCAAAGACTTGGGAACTAGGCATCTCCAAAAGATTATTGCTACGGTCTATACGCAATAATGCAAGAACGCCTCAGCCTTTGATTCATCTTTGCATTAATTCCCCTTTCGCAACGCGACGATCACGACGAAAAGCCGCCCCCCATTTCCACCTCATTTCACCAATGCTTTTCACGTAAAGAAGAGGCCATCAACAACGAGGTAGTATATAGTTAGGGAGATCAAAAGAGGGGGAGCCATTGCATTGCATTGCAGCAAATGCCAAGGAACACATGCATCCATGGATGAAAAGGGAATCCAAAACAAAATGGATGAACAGAAGAAAATTTTGGAGGAGGCAGGAACAGACATACCGGCATGAGCTCTGCACCTCGTTGCCGCCTCCATGTGATCCGTGGGACCCTGGTCTACACGCCGGAGGGGATGATTACGTCGGAGAAGACAAGAACTCCCACCGGTTATAATAATCCTCCCCCAATTGGATCGACGAAATGAACAGGCAACGGAAATGGAATCAAATTTAGGATTTCTTTTAAGCGTTTTTTTTTTCTCTCTCGCTCGTTTTCTTCTGCCTATATTAAGACAATCGATCACTGGGCTAATCGCAAGCGGTGACGTGGATCCATAACTGACGCCATTTTAGATTGTAGTACGTACTAGCTATGCGGTTCTTGCAGTTGGTGATGCATGGTTAGGTGATGCTCTTTTTTGTTCTCTTGCTCTTAAGTGTTACTCTAATTAATCTTTATTGTTTTCTTCTCTAAATAATTTTCATTGTTCTCTCTGTCTCTCTCTCGTTCTGTATGTCATTTTCGTTGAGTTCTTGGTTTGGTGATGACCTTGGCGCTTGTTTTAGCGCGAGCAAAGAGTAGCTTAGTGCGAGAGAGAGAGAGAGAGAGAGAGAGGTGGGCGTTGACCGTTGACGCGGCAACGGGTCACTCTCGATCAGGACGTGGTTTTGCGTTTGGCGGTAAAGTGCGCGAGACACGTTGGGAGGGAGATAGCGACGCATCAACGGACAGGATTGAGACCAGAGAGTAATCTGACGGTCCACTGTTATCAACCGACCACCATTGGGCAAAAACGTCTACTGCCATGAAGTTATCGACGGTCAAAGCGTTCTAGACACGTCGAGATTAGTACAATACAACAGAAAACTGATTTGATGCTCGAGAGAAGAGCAACATCACATCATGCATTGTTTGCATAGCCTTTGAGAGGGGAGCATTGCAAGTGAAACCTTTCTCTGAACTTTATTAGCAAGTGATGATATGATAGTATATTCAAGGAACGTTCTTGTGAAAAGCACCGCGTCTGCATTAGCTATACGCTCCAGTAGTACATGGCAAAGGCTTTACCATACAAGCCGATCTGGAGAGCTTTTGCAGGATTTGCATATGCGTAAAGCCTCAAAGTGGGATCTTTGTGTTGCTACTTGATAGTGCGGCACACCAGGCCTTCTTCGGCTTGCAGCCTTCCATATCATCACACCATCTAAAGATTGCTAAAGAACAGCTACCATAAAGCCTTCTCCTTCACATATCTTTCCATCTGGGGGAAAGTCTATGTCCCTCGATTTTTTTTCAATTTTTTATGACTTTTAAACGACATGAAAAAGAACGAGAGGACGACAAAAATCCACCTCCTCCATCTGATTGTCTTCAAGAGCTTCTGCATTAATTTGCTTTGGTCCCTGCAGTCTGTTCCTTTCAGATGAGTTGTAGTACTTGCACAAAATTAATTAGGCCGTGGTACAACAGTTTCTGACGATCTGTGGCAACAATTGTAGTGGTTTAATTCAACTGTTCGGCAATAAATCATGCGTGAGGAACGACGACTCCAAGCGTCAGGTCAACCAATCAGTCTACTGGGGCCAAAGCGTCAATGCCTTATCTGCAATGGAGGAGTGAGTGAGTGTGCCACACCCCACACACCGTTTCACTTGACCTTTACTGTTCGACGCCCACACGCATGCGGTTTCAGACGCTCTGATGATTGAAGCCCACAAGCAAGAGAGACTACTGACGGCGATCAAGTTGCGGCCGGGCTCAGTAGCCTGATTGCTCCGTCTCCATCATACTTGCTTTTTTGGAAATTAATTCGGCAATTTGCCCCGTCCCTGTCGAGATGGCTGTTCTGAAGATTACTGCTGCTTATCCAGGCTTGTCCTCTCTGGTAGAAAATCCGGCATGTCGACATGGAAATATTCTCATCTTCTCACGTGCCATGGACAAAGAGGAGAAAGCCCTCTCCACCATGGATGTCTCCTTCAAGGCTATGATTCCATTGGAACAAAAGGAATTTTATAGAATAGTTTGATCTTAATCAGAATAAGATTATTGTGTTCAAGAGGAAAAACATAAATGCTTCTAGAGACACTGGATACAGAACATGATTAGGATAGCCAACGATAGAACAGAGGAGCATACATATCATTCTGCTATCATCATTGTTGTAGTATCAAAAAAGAAGATATGAAGCTGAAGGCAATGCACATGGAGCACAGCGGAGGCTGCATATTCTGATAACCAGTCTATCTGTAGTACTAGTATACAACAGCACTGTCGGCTAGCTCCTGCTGATTCAAGAACAGGAAATGGCAGATTACACCAGCTTATTGGAACGTATACAGTTAACCCCTAATAATAATCTCAAGGGTCATTCTGTTTATAACATCCTATTTCATTTTTACATTCGGGTGTTATGGCTGCCAAAAAGCTGAGAGATCAACTAACCAGAATGAGCTTCATATGGCGTATATCCGGTCTATCTCGGAGTCTGAAAACTCTGAGTTTTGCTGCCATGAGTTTGAGCCACTCCTCCTTGTAGATTTCACCTTCTTCCTGATCGAACGTGTGCGCTTGGATCTCACCACATAGTAGGTCATTGTACCAAGCACACCAGCCATGATCACTCCGCCGATTAGGGTCACCAGAAGCGCCGCCCACTGGAAGTGCTTCCCAACTACAATATAAGCGGATGATATGAACGCCACTGTAGTGCACACAGAAGCCAGCCACATCAACTTATTGATAATCTCTACTACCCGCCTCTCTGCTTTAGTCTCTCCCCTAACAAGTGTAATCTGAACCACCACTACTGCTAATGATGTGAACAAGGCAATGGCATTGAAGATGAAGAAGATCTTGAAGGATACGGCATGCACAGCTATTGCCACGCCGTTGTTATCGTTACCACCTGGCACAGTGAAGATTGCAGCAAATGCAACCGTAGCAAAGAGCACAGCCACAACAGTGACAGAATTGGTTGCGTTGTTGATGCCTTCCCTGTGGAGTTTCCTCAGCTCCTTTGCTATGCCAGAAACATTTTTGTTGGTTTTTCTTGCTTGCTCAAGTTGTGTGTGCACATCCTTCTTGATCTCGGTCACTGTTTTTCTGAGCTCGTCTCGAGGCTGGTTTAGATCATTTGCTCTGACTGCACCAGCACGAGACAAACAATCCTTTATCTCTGCAGATTCCTCCGAAAGTGGAAGACCCTCCGCTATGTCAAACGCAGTCTTGCGATCCCTAGTAAGTGCATTCACATTCATGTCTGGAAGAAGGAGAAGCTCATTTACAATCTGCAAGAAGAAACAACAAGCTTGTGAGCAGCAGAAGAATTGCTTATGTATGTACATTAGATTCAACATGGTGGAACAATACCTCTGATCTTTTTTTCCTGGTAGCAACATGCAAAGCTAAGTTGCCATTTCTGTCAGGCAGCATGACAATAGCTGGATCAGCATTCACTAGTGCCCTAACAACCGCAGCACTAGTTCCTTTCACAGCCATGTGCAAAGCAGTCTGGCCTTTCTTATCAGTCCTCCGAGCAAGCTGAGGATCTGCGTCCAGCAAAGCCTTAACAATTTCAACATGCCCCTGACGGCCAGCAAAATGCAAGGCGTTCTTTCCATTCCCCTTTGATAGCTCAACCAACCCAGAAACTCTCTCTAGTAGAAGGTTCACTACCTCAATGTGGCCTCTAATCGCAGCAGTTATCAGAGGTGTCACATTTGATTGGCCAAACGTTTTCCCAAGGGATGGATCATGATCCAGGAGTACCTTCACAATATCTATAAACAAATGTCAGTGGTCCATCTTTGTGCAAGACGTAAGTATAAAATGGATATGCAACAAAGCAATAATAGAGGAACGCTTGCCCAATAGCTTGTGTGAACAATCGGTATGTTAGCATCATGAAAGTAACCTATGATTTGTGACAATTGATTTAAGGCAAAGATAAGGTGAAATAACAATTTGGGATTCAAGCTTTAGTAATTGACTTAGTGATAGGTTTAGCTAGGTATAAGACTCAAAACTGTCAAAAAGACCATTTTATCATGCAAACCTTAGCGATTTTGTGCTTACGGAAATTTTGACAAGAGTGTGAAGAGTGTACAGTGCTCACCTCGGTGGCCTTCTTTTGCGGCAACGTGTAGAACATCGAATCCGGACTTGTTCTTCCTCGTGAGGCTCTCCTTGTCGGAGTGCTTGAGCAGCTCGACGACGATGTCGAGAAACCCCTTCTCAGCGGCGATGAGCAGCGCGGTCTCCTCCACCTCGTTGGGCTCGTTCACGACGGCGGCGCGGATCTCCGCGACCTCGCTGTCGAACTCCTCCCCGGTGCCGGTCATCTGCGCGTTGATTTCAGCGATGATCTGGCGCACAGCTTCAAGGTCCCCGCGCTGCGCGGCGAGGTGGAGCTCCGTGTCGTTGTGCCGGCCGGTCACCTGCTTGACGTACTTCTTCCGCCCCGCCTGGTCCATCCGCTTGCCGGAGTTCGAGAGCACCAGCACCGGCGCAGCAGCCGCCGCGGCGGTCGGCGACGGCGACGGGGACGGGCCCGAGCTGTCCAGGCGGTTACCGGAGCCGGACATCACCAGCACGGGGCCCCTGGAGGACGCCGGCGACGACGCCGGGGACTGGTCCAGCCGGTTGCTGGAGCGGGACATCACCAGCACCGGCCGCGCCGGCGACTGGTCCAGCCGGTTGCTCGAGTGGGACATCACCAGCACCGGCCGCGACGGCGACGGCGACGCCGCCGGCGACTGGTCCAGCCGCTTCCCGGAGTGGGACATCACTAGCCCCGGCCGCCTCACCGCCCTGGGTGGCGACAGGTCCAGCGCCGGCCCTCCAGGACCCCCTCCCTCCGCCTCCGGCGACGCCAACCCAATCTCCAAATCCCCCTCCCCTGCACACACCCCCCAAATCAGCACCACCCCCGATTCCGATCGATCAAACCCAACCATCACACACCGAGAGAGAGAGAAACCATCAAACAACAACAACAACAACAGAAGCCGCGATACCTTTGTCGGAATAGGCAGACATGGTCGGGGACGGAGCTACACGGCGGCGGCGGCGAGGAGGCGACGGGGAGGAGGCAGCATGCGGGGGTTGGGGGGGAGGGAGCGGAACGGGAGGTGGTGGGGAGGCGAGCCGGATCGCGGCCTCCGCGCTCGCGCTCGGCTGCGGCCGCGCGTCTGATGGAAACGAAACGAAACGAACGGGAGCGAGCGGGCGTTTGCCTCGGCTTCAGCTTCTTCGCCCCCGTAGGTTTCGTATATCAGGAGGCAGAGAGAGCTCGGGATCGTTTCGTTTGGTGCGCGCGGTCGCCACCTGCCTGCCTGCCCGGTTGCGTTTTGCATATGGCCGCCTCTTTGTCGCCTTCCCTTCTCTCTGAATTACTCGAATTATTTTTACTCCACCTTTCTGTTTTCGCGCAAGTAGTGCCTGTCACTCCCGTAAGCTCACTGTCACGGTAAGTAATTAACAAACAGAAACCTCGAGTATTTTACATTGTAATCTGGTTGTATTATTCTAATCGTAGAACTACAAGGCACATGCGGGTTTTACTTTTATACCGTGGTGTTGGTTCGTGGCTTCTGGAGTAGTAGTATTATTAATCGCGTGCTTTTTTGTGTGCGCTAATGGCGATCGCTGGGTGGACGGAATCGTCATTGGTGGAAGAGAGAATCGGTTGGGGGTCCCCGCCCCCGCGCGCGTTCGCTACACAACACACGCATTTTGCATGGCGCTGCCTGGGTGCGAGTGCGATGGGACCAACGCGCATACATGTACGCGCTCCGCTGCCTGCCTCTCGCCTTGCAGTTTCACTACTACTTTTTTTTTTGGGGTCCAATTTCTGAACACGTCCTCTTGTTTTTGCGTAGCGTCTTTTATTCTCTCTTATCCCAGCCGGTAAAGAAGTAAAAATGACCGTGACATCTCAGTTGCGGCAGGCCTTACATTTGCACAAGCGAAAACGGTAACCAATTAAACACCAATCACAGCTATAGTAACTAGTAATTCCTCGTTGTTGCGGCTCAACTTCAGCACACGTATAGACACATCGTACTGTACTACGCAGCACTAAATAATGCCATAAGTAGCGTCAAGTTCAGTGCACCGGAGGGGTTGGGGGGGTCACACGCATCAGCAACGGCCTAAACTGCTCCGCATGTTGGGTTGTCGCCGCCGCCGTGACGGACGACGGCCGGATGGATGGATGCCCCCACGTGGTCAGCTTTATCTTGACTCGCCGTCGTCGGTCCGGTTGGTGAGCGCGAGGTCGGTCGGTCGGTCAATCAGTACACTGATCCATCCACTCTCTCCTCCCACCACCGTGCAGACGTGCGGCGATGCTCTAGAATCCAACACGGATCACGCGCATGTTGCGGGTGATTGATCGTATGATTATTCTTCGCAGAGGCTGTCTTTAGGGGAAAATAAAAAAGGAATAGCTGATGCCTGATTGCTCAGGAGAACGGTAAAATAATGCAGCATGGCATTCATTGGCCCGCCAACGTGTTTGTGACGATCCTCGAGAGCAATACTGAAGCATAAACGCAATAAATAACGCGTGGCAGAAATAAGACATATACGGTGAAAATAAAAAGAGTCAACAAATTAACGACCACAGTGGGAGTCGAACCCACGACCTTCTGATCCGAAGTCAGACGCGCTAATCCACTGCGCTATGCGGTCCTTGTTGCTTTTGTTCCACATAGTTTATACTTAGACAAATATAATCTGTGAAAAATCACAGAACGAAGAGAGATTCCAAAGGAAAGGTTCCACGCACGTGCGGCATCCGCGGGGAACAGGCCACCGCAGCAGGAAGCATCGCATCCGACGCCCCCACGTGCCACCCTTTCGGACTCCCTCACAGTCTCACTCCCCCTCGCCACCGCTCCTCCTCCGCCTCCGACTCCGGCGACCGCGCCCCGCCGCCGCCGCCAACGACAATGAAGCAGCTCAACCGCCAGCCTACCCTCAGCAAGCAGCACCGCCCGCACCACCACCGCCTCCCCCTCCCCCGCTCCCTCGCCTCCTACCTCCTCCGCGAGCACCGCCTCCTCTTCGTCCTCCTCGGCTTCCTCCTCGCCTCCTCCTGCTTCCTCATCTACCCCTCCTTCACCCCTCTCTCCTCCTCCTCCTCACCCCGCGACACCGTCGCCGCCAGAATCCGTCGTGGCGGCGGCGGCGGCGGTGGCGCGTCGTCCGTCGTCGTCTCCGCCGCCGCCGCCGCCTCGCGCCGCCTCCCCGTCGGCGTCCGCAAGCCACCCCTCCGCGTCGTCGTCACGGGGGGAGCGGGCTTCGTCGGCAGCCACCTCGTCGACGAGCTGCTTGCCCGCGGGGACAGCGTCATCGTCGTCGACAACTTCTTCACGGGGCGCAAGGAGAACGTCGCGCGCCACCTCGCCGACCCGCGGTTCGAGCTCATCCGCCACGACGTCGTCGAGCCCATCCTCCTCGAGGTCGACCAGATCTACCACCTCGCCTGCCCGGCATCCCCCGTCCACTACAAATTCAACCCCATCAAGACCATCATATCCTTTCCACTGCAAACTCTGCTCCACATTTTCGTACAAAAAACAAAGGCCTTTGTCTGCTTGCATTATTGAATTGCTGGAGTGAAATGGATATGAGTTCATGAATGGTAGGGCAACAATGCCAGGGAAATTTTGGAATCTTGTGCCTGCGGTTGCCATTTGCCTGGAAGAACCTGAAATTTTGTTCCAGTCCTATTTTTCCTTATAAATTTTGGTTCCCTAACTGTTATAGTACAAGACAAATGTGATGGGGACCTTGAACATGCTGGGATTGGCAAAGAGGGTGGGAGCCCGGTTCTTATTGACCAGTACCAGTGAGGTGTACGGTGATCCTCTTGAACATCCACAGAAGGAGAGCTACTGGGGCCATGTAAATCCCATAGGTGATAATTGTGTCTCAAGGAGCAAACTTTGTGATATGCAATCATATATCTTCTTTAGAGCCTGGCCCATTGAAAATGGTCACTCCACTGCATTATTTATATGTGTGACATTATGTGGTAATGCGTAGGCGTTAGGAGTTGTTACGACGAGGGCAAGAGAACAGCTGAGACTCTGACCATGGATTACCATCGAGGTGCCGGTGTTGAGGTAAAGTTTCATTTTCTGAATAGGCATCTAATTAGAGTTTTAGAGAGGGGGTCCCCAAAATCTTAATACATTAGTATCTTGTTTGCAATGGGATGGACAAACCTTTGCTAAAAATTAATTGTACAGGGTCCCTCAACAAACATTAAGTTTCTCAAAGTGGAATATACATTAATTGTATAGGGCTCGAAGTAAACGTTATGATTCAGTAAGTTATGTGAGTGAACTTCACAAAACTTCCAATCTGAATTTTAGGGTCAAATGTACTTGGTTTTGGGTGACCATACCATGAACATTTCGCAGGAAAATATGATCCATGGGATTTACTTTTTTTTTAATGTTGATGTTTTGCGTAAAAATTGGTCTACAACTGAGCATTAATGTAAAGTTGGTCTATTAATGGAACATATTGCAGTTCATACTGTTGAACCTTTGATAGGGAGGCCCGGTGGTTGTAGTGTCAAGAGTTAGGCAATCTCTCCATGTTTACCACATGTTTTGTTTATGTGTTGAGTAACATCATTGCCTACTGAATGGTTTCCATTTATTAAAGAGAAAACTTGACTAACAAATGTTTCTCCTCAGGTGAGAATTGCGCGAATATTCAACACATATGGCCCTCGTATGTGTTTAGATGATGGGCGAGTTGTTAGCAACTTCGTCGCTCAGGTTTGTGTTAATTTATGATTCTAATCCTTTGGAAAAGAGAAATAAGTATATTTGAAGTTTAGCATTACTTACTATTAAAGATGCCTCATTTCCAGACATTGCGGAAACAGCCAATGACAGTTTATGGTGATGGAAAGCAGACTAGAAGTTTTCAATATGTTTCAGATTTGGTATTTTTGACTCTGCTGTTCTCTTGTTATATATCGAAGTGTCCTTTTAAAACTAGCATTACTTTGATGCTTGCTTCATGCATTTGAATCTGGAATCTTTGCTCATTTATGAATTTATAGGTTGATGGATTGATAACCCTGATGGAAAGTGAGCATATAGGACCTTTCAACTTGGGAAATCCTGGAGAATTTACCATGTTAGAGCTTGCTCAGGTTCGGCCCTCATACTTCAAATCCAACTATCCTGCAATCCTTGTATGAACAATGCTTTGGGTTCTTGCCTGGGCTTTCTACTTTCTACAAGCAATCATGTGCCTGCTACTTCTGTAGGTAGTGAAAGAGACAATTGACCCAAGTGCTCGTGTTGAGTTCAAACCCAATACTGCAGATGATCCACACATGAGAAAACCAGACATCTCGAAGGCCAAATCTCTTCTCCATTGGGAGCCAAAAATCTCACTGAAGCAAGGCCTGCCACGTATGGTTTCAGACTTCCAGAAGCGCATCATGGATGAGAAAAGATAAACAAGAAGAAACGAATGAACTCACACCTGTACTATACTCCCCGGATCATTTCCAGTACCTTGACAAGCTTAGCTGCAGAAGTACAACAGAGAAATTGCCCAAAGTTTCTTCTTCGAGGCAATCCTTTTTGTGACAGGAAATCTCTTGTTTGGTTTTGACTTCTTTGATACATATGTTTTGTCACAGAATTTTGTCATCGAAAGCTTAGCCTTTCAGACAACAGTACTACTAGAATTTTACATAAACATAGAGACTTTTCATGGAATTATACTTTGTTAACCCATCCAATTCTGTCCTGCGAATTTTCGCTATTAGATAGCATCAGACAGATACTTCTGTTACCTCACATAATACTAGTATAATCATGTGATCAAAGCAACTACTAGTACATGGTAGAATACAATGTCACGTAGTACTTGAAATTACAAGCATTTTCATGAAGCTGAGAAGCAGCATAAGCTGCAAGGCCAAACTGTTTGGAATGGACTACTAAGCTGGAAGCAACTCAGATGAGGTGAATGCTGAACTGGAGGAGAGTCTCGACGCCGTCGGTGGTGTGCTCGTCGCCGGGGTGCAGCGTCTGGATGACGGCGAACCCCTTGGCGTTCTCGTACTTGCCCGTGCCGCCGATGACAGCGACGTGGGACTCCGGCGCCGCCATCCGGTGGACGCCGAAGAAGCTGAGCGTGTCGCCGTGCGCCTCGACGCCGCCGCCGTCGAACATGGCCGTGAGCACGAGCGTCTTGCTGGTGCCGTCCTGCGAGCTGGCGACGTAGAACCCCTGCGCCCTGCCGACGACGGCGGCGCCGAGCTCGTGGCCCTCGGTGAGCTCGTCGTCGATGACGGTGGTGGTGCCGAAGAGGAGGTTCTGGAGCGTGGCGCCGGACGGCAGGTCGCCGGCGTTGACGAAGGGGATGTTCTTGTTGCCACCGTTGCCGTTGCCGTTGCCCTGGACGATGGCGGCGGAGGACGTGCCGCCGAGGCCGGCGACGTAGGGGACGTTGTTGCCGTTGACGAGGTTGCTGGCGCCCTGCGGCAGCGGCATCGCGCCCTGGATCGGGAAGATGTTGTCGTTCGGCCGCGCGAACGGGAGCTGCCCGTTCGCCGCCGCGCTCGCCACCACGCCCGTCACGATGCGCGCCGACGGCTGCGACCCGCCCAGGATGTCGTGCATGAAGAACGTCAGCTGGTGGTGGTCGCCCGCGCCGGCACCACCACCAGCCGCGCCCACCCCCGCATTGCCCGTCGCGGCAGCGCCACCGGCTGGCACGGCCGCGGGGGCTACCACCGTGTCAGCGGGCGGGTCGGTCGGCGCGGGCAGCGGGTCGACCGGCGCCACAGGAGCCTCCGCCGGCGCCGGCGCAGCCGCAGGCTGCTCCTCGAGGACGCGGCCGGCGAACGCGCCGTTCGCCGCCGCGGCGAGCGCGATCACCACCAGCCACACAGCCGCCTTGTCGACCATGCTCGCCGCGCGCTCGCCGCTGCCGGAAGAGACAGGACAAGAATCACAAGAACGAACAGTGCCAAGATCACTTGCTGCTGCCGCCGCCGCCGCCGCCGTTGTGCATTGCATGTCGCAACGAGGCCGCAAGATTTATACGGGAGCAGTAGGTGCGCCATGGGTGGAGTTGGAATTGCTAGTGGCGCGCTTTTTCTGTGGTGTTGTGTTGGTTGCAGGAGGGACACGGTGCCCAAGAGATTAACCTAAACCTCTCGGAGAAACGAAAGCGAGGAGCAGTTGGTATACAGACGGCGACACGGCGCCACATAAACCCCAGGACATGCGAGGCACGGGCACCGGCCATGTGTACTCCTGTCTGACTAGAGTAGAGAAGTTGTTGCCTTTGCTGGGCGCCTGGGCCTTACGCTGCAGGATTTTTGGAACATTATAGGCACTCATCCGTTTCATAATAAATTCATTTTTGACTCTTTCCATTTGTTAAAAGATAAGTTTATATTCAACTAATCATTCTATTAGAGTTTATGAAAGTAAGAAAGTAATTGCATTAGGAATGGATAAAATAGGAAAGAGTTATATTACGATTTGATAAAGTAAGAATATTGTATTTTTTTCGGTTTTGTATTACTACGTGTAAAATGGGTGAAAAATAAATTTATTTTAGAGTGGAGGGAGTAGTTACATTGTTCAACATTCAATAACCATCGGACGCATGAATTAATAGCAAACCTGGATGAATTTTCAGCAGCTCGCGCCAAATTAGAACATGTTCACCCATCACCTGCAACCAATTGGATAACTGGATGTGTAGAGGCCGAGTTTCTAATCTGTTTTCCAAAAATCACCTTCAACTAATAGAATTGGACTGAAAAAGGTTCCCAACTTGCCATAACAAAATTCACCAAGCTCACAACATTACAGCAAGAAATCCCAGCTTCCTCGCATGTATGCTTCCTCCACTGATTATGGTAAGCAGCAGCATGGCCACATTTGCAAACAAGAATAACAAAAGCAATATTGGCATGCAGGTAAACTTAACACATATACGATTGGTTCATGCCAAAATTTATACTCCGGCATCATGCCACAGAAAATGTACTCTCTTTTTTCTAGTTTGGAGGGACAACTCCAGAGGTCACAGTTATTAAAATCCATAGTTACAACCAGGTCCAACCGGAACGCAGCACACCGAAAGGCTGCAACAATCTCACCTTCTGTTCTTGAGATTTCTTTAACCAATTCATGGCAGCTTCCAGTAAGCATCAAGGCATCAACCACTGATTCTACCAGTATGCTTCAATGGCTGTAGCGATCAATTCATGGTTCATTCCAGCCACAGATCATAGCAGATTTTGTCACCCCCAGAAACTCAGATATGGTTTCTTGAAGGAGATCCTCATGTACCATTTTCCCGACCTCACTAGCAACAAGATCGATGCCATCTTCAGAACCAACCCACCCCAAGTCCATGAATAGGCCCTCATGAGCATACTCCATTTCTTGCCGAAGCTCGACCACCCTTTGCCACACCACCTCAACGAATCCCTCCTGGTCCAATCTGGACGAGCAGCTCCACGACAACCCCTTTGAGCTATGCTGCATCACAGAAGTGATTATATCTGCAATGACATCATTTGTGAGATCAAACAGGAGCTTCCTCTCCGGTGACGGCCACAGAATGAGGCTATTGTACTTGTTTTCAAGTACATCAAACACATCAGAGCCAGCTGGGCACTCTGATAAGTAGCACATGTCTAGTAGCTGATCCCGGTTAGCAGTATTAATGCCCAAAACAATCAGCATATCCAGCACGTAAGAGAAATCCCTTTCTTCTTCATCCCTAAAAGTAGGGGATATTTCCTTATCTGGAAGTGGCTGACTTTCTGTCGTAAGCTCATCATCACTTGATATTAGCTCAGTGTCATCTGCGCTGTCTGTAGCTTCCATCTTGAGAAGTCGCAGTTGCATTCTCAGTCCTGCAATATCCCAGTAAATCAAACTTAAGAACATGAATTAGTAGCAAGATGATTAGGGAAACAAGAACTGGGTTACTTGCCTTGAAGATCAGCACTAATTTTCTCAAAATCACCAGAATAAATGTCTTCAGCGTCCAAGGAAGATTCAAGAACAGAAACTGGACTTTGTTGATCATCTTTGTCGGAGCTCACTGGAGATTCTGATCCTGTTTGGGGAATCATCCATGGGACTTGATTGCCATCACTTTGATGGTCGTCAATCCTCATGGCAGATACTGATTTTTCCTCAAAATTGCACACTGGATTGTCATCACACTGATGCTGTTCGATCCCCTCAGCCTGAGTACATGGATGAAGTCAGCAATCAGAAGATGTCAAGAAAGGCAACAGAAAACAAATCAACATGATATCATCCACACAGAATATTCACAACAAAGGCTTTAGCACTAGACGTGCACATGAAAAATGTGTTCTGAGGAAAAATGGATGATACACATAAAAACTCATAGAAAAAATACATCTAGCTTTTCACACCTATGGATGAATTTTTCCATAGGAAATGGTCAACATAATGCAAGAAATAAATTCACCTAAATTTACCTGAGTCATAGAAATGTTGAGTCTAGGTACAAGAAGATGGTCGTCTGATTCTATTGGTGACTGTTGATGTATCTGCTGGTTCTGCCTATCAGGAGAACATAGTTCTTTCTTCTGTCCAGGAACCACAGGACTGGTATCCAGGTAATACACTGTATCTAACTCATTGTCAGGATTTGAAGGATGTAGAAGTGTCCCTTTAGATGAATTGGCCAAGGCGATACCATTTATTGGTTCCTCTGAATTTACATGTATTTCGCGTTCAATTATCGCTCTTTCCTCGTTATCTGAGGAGACACGATCAGCTCCATCGCTATGAAATGTTGCATCTTGAAACAGAGATTTTCTATTCCTGCTGTTGCATGCATGTTCAGAATCATAGGGTCCTACTTTGAGAACATCTTTCAGCATAGAGAACTCATTATGTCTGCCAGTTCGTTTTCTGTTGTTTGACTTCTGAACTCCCCGATTGAAGGGTGTTGGAAGAGATTTGGACCTTGGTAAACTACCTGTAGCCACATCTCGCCAACCATCATTGCTGCTGATGCCAAGAGGAGAGTTACATGTGCTTGTCATTCTATCTTTCTGTGATTCACCCTTTGGATATTTCCTGTTTGATATTTTCTGGGTAGCAACTTTTGAAGCTTCCTGGTCAGAAAGAGCAAGCATGTCTCCAAGCATGCTGAATCCATTATTCTTGTCTGCTTGATGCTGATATCGGTGGGTGGCCTTCCATCTGTTAGAGAGGTGTTTCTTTGCTTCCCTGCTAACTTTTGTTTCTGTTGAATATGATGGTGAGGACGTGAAGCTAGAAGAAGCATATCCATCATGTAGCTCAGAGGATCTATGAAATACCTCAGAGGACTTGACATTAGAACGAGATGACAGAGGTTGCGACCTTTCATCTGAAACAAATGTGCTAGTCTCTGGTTTGAAAATGTGTTTCCTGGTTCCAACACCCCTAGCGGATCTCATTTGTTTCATAACCCCTCTAGCAATTTCTTTAGATCCCTTCGCTACATCATCGAATGTTTCAGAATCTCTAAGGGGGCCTATGTATTCTTCAGTACATGGGCTCCACATAGCATCACCATGACATGGTTTGTGCCTCCTAAAATCAAAACGAGAGAGTTCATTCCTTAAGGCGAAGGCTCCTTCAATGTCCTGAGCTTTATCAAGACTTGGTTTCAGGACAACAATCCGTGTGGAGCAAACTCGCTTGTCACTGATTTCCTGGTGACTTGACCTTGACAGTTTCTGCCTTAGTGAACCAGAGTCTTCTTTTGGGGATTGATTGGGCAACTTAGTATATGGCCTACTCTGAGAGTGTTCAACTTCCTTTTGCTTGTAGAAGTAGCTTTCAGCACCTTTATCTTGTGAATAGATATTGTCTGTGTCAGTAAATTGATTTCTTCTAGATGGTTTCAATATTGTGATGCAATTTGCAGTAGAGGACGGAGAATCATGATCATGTAGGTCTCTTTTGACTATAGGATCAAGTTTTTGAAGAAATTGCAAAAGAAGATCTTTATTGGATGCCAATACGTCAAGTGTTTCACTGAGCTCTTCTGATATCTGAAGGGATTCATCAGTAGAAAGGCGCTTTGCATCCATAAGTTTTTGCCTCATCTGATCTAGATCAGGACTACCAGTCTTGCCAAATGTTGAAGTTACATTTTCATTTTTAGATCTTGGGCTCCGGTGTATTTTCATTCTTGTTGCCTCCATAACTTCAAAAACATCTTTGACTTCTGGCATCTCATCTGTGCTTCTCCGATGTGGAATATATTCGGAAAAACTACGCCTCTCGTGAGCGCAACAAGGTGAAGACTTTTCTGCATGACTTTGGGCATATCTGTGTTGGTTATTGGCTCCAAATGAAGGCAGTGAATCAAGACCCATTAGTCTTCCTACAACACCTGGTGAAGTGTGCCTAGCATTGACATCTTTCGAGAATTCTTCATCAATAAGTGTTTTCATTGGTGTACCACTAGCCTTCTTAGATTTACTTCGCCAGTTTCCCGCAGCAAGCTGAGAAGAGCAGAAAAAAAAAGGCATAGCAATCCATTAATTAAAATATAGGAACGAGGTATAGTAACAGAGGACAATTATGTACTACCCATTTTCAGATTTGAGTATTAGCAACATTCACTTGTACTAGAATAGTAACAGAAGACAATTATGTAGTACCCACTTTCAGATTTGACTATTAGCAACATTCACTTGTATTACAAGATATGCAAGGTATAGTAACGAAAGAAAATTATGTACTGCCCATTTTCAGATCTGAGTATTAGCAACATTCACTTGTATTACAAGATATGCAATGTATAGTAACAGAACAAAGTTATGTACTGCCCATTTTCAGCGACATTCACTTGTACAAGAGATACAAAGGTATAGTGACAGAAGAAAATAATGTGCTGCCAATTTTCAGATTTGACTATTAGCTGTTCATTTGTACTACAAGAGATATGGAAAGTGTTGAGATAAGAAGAACATGTGCATCCCAGTTTTGACCTTCTAGTTTTATGCCAAAGGTAATCATCATTAAGCTAGAGAAAAGAACATGTTTTTGAGCTCCTTATTTATAACCGAAACTAAAAAAGTATGTGCAATATATGATATACCTCTTCTACTAAATGCAAATCACTCACCATAGAATCAGAAAGCATCCCAGGATTACTTGTTTGTTTCCTCAAAACAGTACCTGAATCAAAGAAAAAGGTAACAGTGAATGTTTCCTGTAGATATACCACAGCAATAGCAAAACAAACAGCACGGTAAAATGGCAAGCAGAAGGCACTTGGTGTTGAACTATTAGGCTGTGTTCGGCAGCCAGTTTTCCCAACTCCTCTCTCTCGTGTTCCGCGCGCACGCTTTTCAAACTGCTAAACGGTACATTTTTTGCAAAAAGTTTCTATATGAAAGTTACTTAAAGGATCATATTGATCCATTTTTGAAGGAAAAATAGCTAATACTTAATTAATCACGCGCTAATGGACCGCTCCGTTTTCCGTGCACAGGATACTTGTTCCCAACCAGTCCTAACGAACTCAACCTAAGAGATAGAACGAAGAGTTTAGGGTCATGTTCAATTTCTGCTAACCACAAAAGACAGGGAAGGTGAGTAGGAAGACATGTATTACTGTCTTTTGGCCTTGATCAGGCATGCTTTGATAGCACATAGACCAGTCACCACAAGAAAATAAATTTACTTTTGCCATAATGAAAATATACTTGATATACTATTAATATACAAACATCAAGTCTAAAAAGGAGAAGTTAAAAGGAAAAGGTTGAGTAGGATTGAGGTTTTCGAGCTCTCTTGATCCAATTCCTTCAAGCGAATCAATGTGAAATGAAAAATAAAAAATAAATAGATTGAAACAGCCAACTTGTGCACAAAATCTGTGGGGTGCAGGGAGGCCCAATAAAAGTAATATTGAATGGGATTCAGTTTACAAACATACCCTAGGAGTTCCGAATTACCTGCTCATTTTATGAGGAAAAAAGTTTTACGTTTGAACTGCAGAGAGTTCAGAGGCAAAACCAAGATACCACAAGTTACGTAACAATAATAAATTGTTTACCACAATAAGTAAGTAACTAAATAACCTTTCATCACATAACGCCACTTGTACAGGGGATATTCTTACAAACTTGCTAGCACACATAGAAGACGACTTAGACGAGCACATAGCAGTGCTTTGGTTTCATGATTTGGCAGTGGCAGCGTCAGGCTGAAAATTCTACCAGGATGTAACATTTTGTAGATCAAATGTCAATTCATCGAGTTGGCAAAAAAACATGTTTCACTAGTTAACGCAGTGAACGGCTCTTTTACAGACTAAGTGAAAAATCTATGTTTAAGCGAAGATTCGCTTGGTGATTAGAATAAGAAGCCCACTTGGCTATGAACCTTCACGGCATCCAACTGAAATGGGGACGCAAAAGAACATTATTTAATGCTTTTACTTACATAACCAGCAATTTACGGGCAAATGAGGTTTCTTTGCGTGATTTCGTGGGATAGGCAAGTCGACAATATCTCATTTCCTTAGAATTGCACACTCTAGAGGACCCCCAATAATAAAATGCGGCCAATGCTCTAGCAGTTCAATCCAGGATGCAAAAACTGAATGGAAATCTTTCATGTTTGGTACAGTAGTACTCCTAGAATCTAGGCTATTGTAGCTGCAATGAAACAACATAAAGGAAAAGCAAACAAATCAAAACAAGTCCGCTAGAATCATTTGAATTTTGAAAGCAAGAATCCTCTCTCTCTCCAATAAAGGCTTGACTAGGACCTAAAGTCCATGTGAAAGTTATGCCTCCTTATTTTAAAACAGAAGGGTAAAAAGAAAATTCTACATTGTTTTACTCCGCAATGTTTTCTTCGAACTCAGAAGATCAAATGTCAAGCTAGTTACCCCAAGTTCCCGATTTGATAACGTGATCAGCCAAGGGAGAGAGAAAAAAAAAGCGTCCTTTTCTGTAACACCCACTTATATGATATTTCTCTGAGGTGTAGATCATGACAAAAAAAAAAGAACCTTTCATTCAGATTCAGAATCGTAAGGTAAACCCCGAAAAAACCTTCAGTAGCAGATCTTTAACCATGGACTCCTAAAAAAAGCTCACCCGAAAATTCCGCGGAGAAAAAAAAAAAGATGCAAAATTTCAAAATAAAGAAGAGGAGAAAGACGGCTAGGAGATTGGGGGAGGAGAGAAGATAACTGAACCTCGGTGATCGACGGCGGCGGGGGAAGTGGAGCCCGCCGCCGCATTCCGCTCCATCCACCCTTCGCCGGCCTCCCCCCTGCGCCTCGATCTGCCGCGCCCAATGCCCGCCATGCCCGGCGTCGTCTGGAGCCCCCGGCTGGACGACGCAGCAGCGACGAGGCCGCCGCCGCTCATCCACCGCCGCGAGAGCTAGACGAGCAGATCGATTTTTTTCTCTCTCTCTCGCGTGTGCGCGTGAGCCGTCGCGTCGCGGGGAGGAGGATGGGGAAAAGGGCTTTGGTTTGTTTGCCCGTTCCTTTGCCTGTACAGTGCAGCCGTGCTGCTTGCTCTGCACCCAAGCCGATGACTTTGTATTTTTCGGTTTCTACTCTCTCTCTCTCTCTCTCTCCCTCCCATCTTGTACTATCTCTCTCTACCATTGTATATATATCTCTCTACCATTTTGTAGTATATATCTATCCCTACTGCTATGTTAAGATCCAAACTTTATATCCAAACTTTGTATTAAAACTTCTAAATTTTTTCATCACATCAACCTGTCATACACACACAACTTTTCAGTCACATCGTACCAATTTCAACCCAAACTTTCAATTTCAACTTTGAAAGGAATAAATCTATCTGAATTAAATTTTCATATCTCCCGTCCAATCAATTGAGCCTTTAGTCTTATTTTTATTTGCATATAATTTCTCAGAGAATTGTAGTGGCAGTTTCTTTTTAAGTCTTTGTGAGGATATTACTAATATTAAGTTTTAGAAGTTGATCATTAGGGGACTTTGTTTGCAATGATCACGGTTGTTCAAGTGCGATGAAACTTGTGAAGCTCTCGAGCACTGCTATATTGTATTCTACTCGTAGTTTCCTAAAGGTTCATCACTAATGTCACTATGGATAATAATATTTCTAACACTGTATCATTATACTCGCTTTTAATTTCCCGCCCCAAAAAAAATAGTAATAAGCAAACATAACGTGGCATAGAACTTGAACTTCTTTAATTGAACATCATCATGACATATTAATCCCTTGCATTCTTTGGAGTTGCTGGGAAAAAAAGACCCATCCACACAGATCACACAAAAGTAACATGATACGTAACCTAAAGCACATTAATTATTAACTGAGATGTGAAATAAAAAATAGAAATGTAAAATCCCGCTTTTCATTTGCCGCCAAGCTTTTTTTTTCTAAGAGTATCTCAAAAAGAATAGCTAAGTACTCTTCAAGCCAAATATTAGCCAGTATAGGAAAAAAAATGCCCTCCAATAGTCTCTCTATCTCGCTGGCCAAGTTATCCGGCTAGCCAAATAGTCCCACCGGCTAGTTAAATCTAACCAGCCACAACCCACTGGCCAACGGTGGCCCCCACACGCTGGCCACTGGCCCATCGCGAGAACACCGTCGCCTCCCCCTCCGGCGCAACGACGAGGAGCAGCCGCGCCGCCGCGAGCCCCCCGTCGCCTCCCCCTTCGGCGCAAACGCAACGACGAGGAGCAGCCGCGCCGTCGTGAGCTCCCCGTGACCCAAATTTCCCCGTTGCAATCAAGATAGAGAGGACAAAGGAAGAAGAACAGCGGCGGGGCGGGGAGACTGCACTGTCCACTACCTCCGACCTCGCCGATGCCGCTGTTGCCGAGGTCCCCGTCGTCGTCAAGGTTGCCATCGCCATCCATCGCTGCTGCCGAGATCTCTGTTGCCAGTCGTCGATGCCGTCGTCACCGAGGTCGCCGTCGTCTAGAGGCCTCTGGCCCCGCGCGACGGCCGCCGCCTCCGCCCCTGCAGGATTTGGGGTGGGGGCGCGACCTCTGCCGCCTCCACGCGGCTTCCGGCCCCGCGCAGATTTGGCCAGCGGGGTGGATTGGGGGACCGCGCGGCCTCCGCCTCTGCTCCATGGGTCGCCGTCATGAGCCGCTGCCGCCGTCGGCAGCCTCTACACGGTCGTCGCCGCGCACTCGCATAGGAAGAGAGGAGATAAGAGGGAGAGAGAGGAAGAGGGAGAGAAAGAGGAGGAAGAACGACTAGTAGAGGCTGACAAGTGGGTCCCAGTGTCATAGGCTTATAATAGAGTGTAGATGGAGAGGCTATTGGAGTGAGAAGTGAATTTGGCTTGCCAAATCAATTGGAGAGTTGGCTATATGGGTGTTTGAAGAGTTCGATTTGGAGAGTTGGCTATATGGGTGTTGGAGATGCTCTAAGAGACCCGAGGAGAGGAGACTCTCCACCTGAATGCCCCGTTCGTCGCATCAGTTGATATAGATATTTACAATGCACGCAAAACGAGAAAATTCATTAGCACATAATTAATTAAGTATTAATTATTTTAAAAATAAAAATAGATTAATCTGATTTTTTAAAAAAAAACAACTTATATGTAGAAACTTTTTATCAAAAATGTACCGTTTAACAGTTTAAAAACGTGCTAATGGAAAACAAGTAAGTTAAAGTTTGGAGTTGAGAAAAAGAACTAAGCCGTACCATTAAAGAAAGTTTAAAACTATGCACAACAAATCTATATCGGAGTACTCCCTCCATCTACTTTTGATTGTTATATTTTATCTTGGCACACAGAACAAAGATAAGTAATTCTATTTATCATCTATTTAAACATGCTACTAATCATTCCTCGTAAACAAGCGATTCATTAATATTTACATTTCTCGATGCCCATGTAGCCAATTTTGTGTGGAAGAATGGAGAGTCATGCATTAAATCCGAGAAAGTCATTAAGATGATAGGTTGTTGGATTGAAATATGCCTATCAAAAATAAATTTTTCAGATTTAAAAATGTTACTATCAAAAATAGATGGAGCAAGTACTACAGAAGATAATAGTGAAGGTAGCTCTATCACCCAGCCCACCACCACTGTATTTACACATTTTATAAATTAGTCGCTAATATTATGCGTTAGTCTAATATTAGTTTGTACATTGTGTTCAAATAAATGTGGGCATTATTTACGTATAGTATGCTAGCAGAATAAAAGAAAGAGAATACAAAAGTTGAATTACCTATAAATTTGTAGTGAGCATCTAACAAATTCTAGTCGATAATCTGAGTATGGTCTTTGCTTCCAGCAACAGCGCTCCATAAGAAAACATAAAATGTTTCTGGAGACCTCAAGGTTCACAAATCACAACAGCTCCAACCAAAAACATCCATCGGAACCGTGAACTACGTGAAGCATCACTTTCGAGCTCCAACAAACAGTTGGACAAAACAGAAGCCTAGCGCACTCATCTCTAGTCCCCCCGCACCTCCCAAGTCACATGAAAATTTTAAATTAAAGGGAGCCTATTTGCCAAAGAAACCTACACCAATTAAAGAAACACACACACACACGTCAAGCATTTTATTTTTTTTTTCAACCGTAGTTTCTCTTTACGATAAATCTGTTTCAAGTGGCCATCACACGGTTCACGAATGGTCAGACTGCACAGCATGACAGGTGGGGCCCACCTGGCAGCCAACCTGCACACGTGTACGGCAAGCAGGACCGGACCCCGGCCGGTGTCCGCGTACCGTGCCATCCGGCGTACGCTTCGGATGCCCAGCTGGTCATACTCGTACGCCTGCATCTGCATGGAGGACCGAAACCCGATGCTTATGCTACGCTGGGTGGGGCCCACCGTATTTTAGTGACGAGCGAGTGTGGCCCACCTGGCCAGGCATCCTGCTTGCGAGGCGAGGTCAGCCAATCTTCTGCGGTGGCCATTGTTCAGCGATGTGAATGGAGTAGTTATTTGGGTATAAAGTTTTTTAAAATATATGAATATACTCCGAGGCGATGAGTATATTTGAAGTATTAAATTTAGATTAATAACAAAATAAATTACAGATTCTGTCGGTAAATTGTGAGATAAATTTATTAAGCCTAATTAATCCATCATTAGTAAATGTTCATTGTAGCATCATATTGTCAAATCATGGCGTAATTAGGCTCAAAATATTTGTCTCGCGATTTACATACAAACTGTGCAATTGATTTTTTTTCTCACATTTAATATTCCATGTATGTGTCCGAATATTTGATATGATGTTTTTTTTGACAATTTTTTTTATTTAAACGTACTGTACAGTACAGTACAACAACGTGTATAGTCGTACTATACTACGATACTCTACCAACCGAGTACAGTAACAATGATCTACTCCACCAGGCAGCGTAAGTGCCGTACTAGTAGTACTCAAGTAACTCCATCATCGAAGAATTACTCAAGGTAGCGGTAAAACAACGGATGCACTGGAATGATATTACTGGGAGTATACGCATACTAGTACTAGTAGGAGTACTGTTTTTAGCGGAGGCTGCACTGGTAGTGTCCACTGTCCAGTGTCCAGTGATGCATCAAGGAGGAAACAACGGTTGGCCGCCTGCAAGAGTGCAAGGTTAGCCGGTGGCGAGCAGGGAGAAGATCAGGAGGACATGAGCCTAGAGTCAACAAGATTCTTCGCCAAACGATAGCTATGTCCTGCCCGTTCTCGTGTCTCCCGTCGTCGCCTGTCGTGGCAGCCGCATCGCACCTCACCTGCATTGCACTGCATAGCACAGATCTGGGCTTTTCCAAACCCAACACCGGCTCGTAGTCGTCGTAGGCCTACCACTACTACTTCTATCATCGCTATGGGTGTGTTTGGCTGTTTGTTTGCAAGAGCAATTTCCCAACACCCTTTTTCATTTTTCACGCGAACGCTATTCAAACTGCTAAACGATACTACGTTTTTTTGCAAAATGTTTATATATAAAAGTTGTTTAAAAAATCATATTAATTCATTTTTTTAAAAAATAACTAATATTACTCAATTAATCACACGTAAATAGATCGCCCCATTTTTCATGTATGGGAGATGGTTCTCAATAACCGTCTTCTCCTCGACCAATTCGTTTGTTTCCGAGTTGTTTTTTCTTTTCTGGTCCTCGTACCACCGCCACTAACCACTAACATTAAACGCTGGCGGGTACACCACTGTACAAAAAACACGATAGATGAACGTTGCAGGGTCCTGTTCACCATGACCCGTACTGCCTGCCCTGTTCGGTACACGGAGAATTTTTTGCACCGTGTTTGCGTACTCCGGCTACTTTTTGCCCTTTTGATCTTTCGACGACACCGGCCGGCTGATAGCCTACACGCCTCATCACATATTCACATCACAAGACGACGGGAACACCAGTCACCCGGAAAATAGAGCGACTAGCTAGTAGGAGTACTGCTGTGCTTATAATAATTCTGTTAGGTAAACCAGTGTCTCCTCCTCTTGTCGCCGGATAGAGCTGCACTACGTACTGTACTGCACACAGATGATAGGATGGTTTGGCTGCATCTTGCGTGCGCACGAGACACGACGGACGGGACACGACACGAATGCTGATGCA